ATGAATCTCTTCTTTATTCAAGAAGGAGAAACTGCAGTCAGCATCTCTAACAAAACCCCTCAGATCCAGTTGGCTCATGGCAGATGCTCCCTGACATCTCATACTTGTTGAATAGAGCTGCGGGCTATGTTCCTGGCACCCCAGCTCCTGGTCGCCTGGCTAGCTTATGCCCTGAAATAACAACACACAAACTGTATTCTTTTAAACACTGCTTGGCCCATCATATCTAGCCTCTTCTCGGCTGACTCTCGCACCTGGACTAGCCCATTTCTATTAATGTGTGTAGCACCCCAAGGTGTGCTTACCGGGAAGATTCTAGCCTACATCCATCCTGGGTTGGAGCTTCATCGCCTCTGCTCCAGAGAGCAGCAGCCTCGCATCTGAGCTCACTTCCTCTTCCTCCCAGCACTCTGTTCTGTTTACTCCACCCACCTATGTTTTAACCCATCAGGGCCAAGCAGTTTCTTTATTAATAAACCAATGACCTTCCTCCATCACATACTCAACCAATGAATGTGCTTTCTCCATTGTTGTAGGAGTCATTTGGCCCCGTTTGTTTGTTTGTTTGTAGACAGGATTTCTCTATATAACAGCCCTGGATGTTCTGGACCTCACTCTATAGACCAGGCTTCTCAGAGATCCGCCTGCCTCTGCCTCCCAAGTGTTGGGATTGAAGGTGAGCACCACACCCAGCTGTGTAGCCCTGTTTAACAGAGGAAACCATTTTACTTGCACTTTTAAAACCCCTTTGTTCTTGTTGCTCTGTTTTTAGCAGGGGGTGGGCTTCCTTTCTTTCACACTGCACACTATGTGGCATGAGGTGTCTGAGTTTTATTCTTAAAAGAATTTGATTTCTTCTTGCATCCATTTCCCACACACGCAGCCCCTGTATTCATTGTTGAATGTGAGGGTAGTTGTAGTCCTAGTTCGTGACCAATGACATCCCTAGAGCTTTCATTTTTATGAAGGTCGATATATTTTGTCTTGCTTGTGTGCTGATCCCTGCCTTGGGGTGCTAACCTCTACTGAGTCTTTTTTCATTTTTAAACATTGAGAATATGGCACCTATTCAGTTTTCCAATCTTTCAAACTCTAGAGTGCCTCATTTAGTTTAGGAGTCCCCAGAAAGCACTTTTGAAGAGCGAGCCAGTGTTAATTTAGGTAGAACCATTCTTAGAACTCGATGCTCACTGACTCCCAGGGTACCAAGAGCAAAAAGCAAGACCCCCCCCCCAAAAAATGGCTGGGTGGTGGTGGTCCATACCTTTATTTAATCCCAGCACTCGGGAGGCAGAGGCAGGCAGATCTTTGTAAGTTCGAGGCCAACCTGGTCAACAAGAGCTAGTTCCAAGACAGGCTCCAAACCTACAGAGAAACCCTGTCTTGAAAAAAAAAAAAGCAAGAAAACCATAATATCACATATTTTAAATATTTTTAACTATTTCCTTTATCCAGAAGAAAAGCTACCATAAATTAAGAATTTCATGCCTCTAAACATAATCATAATTAATGGCAGATGGAGTTTAAAAAAAAATTAATACCTAATGAAGTACCCAAGTCAGGGCCAAAGAAAACCACACAGTGCTACAGTTGTTACTGAATGTTAGCTGCATGCTAAGTACTTGCTTGAAACTAGAAATAACTAATGCCAAGAAAAAAGTAATGTGATTATTAATAATTTAAGATGCATTGCACTTAATACTAACTTATTCAGCTTAATATTTACAGTTCTTACCTTTGTAAATACAAATAGACAGGTAGCCAGCTGTGTTCTAGAGCAGTGTTTCTCAAACTACCCATGGCCACTGGGTCCTGATATAAAATGCCTCTCAACTGCAAACCATGGTTCAAAAAGTTTAACATCACTGCTAAAAGACAGGATGATAGTTTGGAACCAATAAATACAAGTGACTCTCCCACAGAAACCACACTGCTTCTGCTGAGAGTCTCTGCTTTTGTGTTCACTTTACAGAACTGAAGAAAGCAAACCTCAAAACAAGGATGACTACCACGCTGCAGTAGAGAGACTGATCATGGCTGCTCGCATATCGGACCCCAAGCTTTTCATCAAGCACATGACGGTCAACATTTACAAGGAGCAGGTGTACAGTCTGGAGCAGCGCTCTGCCCTCAAGTGGTTGAAAGAGAATTTGAAGTGGGCTGGAAACATTTGGCTTTTCACTAACCATTAGTTAATAAACGTGTTGTTGTTGGGTTTTTTTTTTAAGTTCAAGTAATCATTGTTGAAAATAAAAGACAATAAAAATAGTTCTCATTGTAGTCATCATTTGTATCTCATCAACACTAGAAATTATCAAATAGTTTTCAAGTAATAAATTTCATTTGCTTGCAATAGTTTTATTAACAATAAAAAGTGATTTTTAAAATTGCTTTTTACTTAAATTTAGAAGAACCTAAGTATTAAATTCCTTTTTAATGGTGTAGTTCAAAGAGTTGAGAAGCCTTCACTGAATGCAAGACCTCCCGCAGGGTACCCAGTGCGGGGGAGGGGGGCGACATGGAACTGGACACAACATGATGACACTAAGAGCCACCAGATACTACAAATGACTTTGCCATACTCTGTTGAAATATGAGCGGCGGGCTGTGCCCCCGGCACCCGGCCGCCTGCACAGCTAGCTTTATACCCAAAATAATTACACGGAAACTGTATTCTTTTAAACACTGCTTGGCCCATTAGTTCCAGCCTCTTATTGGCTAGCTCTTACATATTGATCTAACCCATTTCTAATAATCTGTGTAGCCCATGAGGTGGCGTACCAGGGAAGATCTTAACCTGTGTCTGTCTGGAGTGGGAGAATCATGGCGGCTGCCTGACTCGGCTTCTTTCTCCCAGCATTCTGTTCTGCCTACTCCGCCTAATTTTCTGTCCTATTAGGGCCAAGCAGTTTTCTTTATTAGTTAACCAATGAAAGCAACAGATAAGGTACAAGACCCACCTCCATCAATAGTCAGGGTTACCACTGCCGCAATAAAGCACCCATTGTTGTCTGAGGTTTCTGTCCTGCGTCGTCCTGCAGTCATTCAGTCCCAAAGAATCACACAGAGGTCTACATCTATTATAAACTGATTGGTCCAGCATCTCAGGCTCTTCTTATTAACTAATTCTTTTAACTTATAATAGCCCATAATTCTTGTCTGAGTTAGCCATGTGGCTCGGTACCTTTTTCGGTGAGGCAGTCACATCTTGCTTCCTCTGAGGCTGGGTCAGTGTTTATTTAAAATACAAGTGTTAGGATACAGACCATTGTCCCATAGCAACCCATGACCAAAAGCAACTTGGAGATAAAAGGTTTATTTGACTTATACTTCCACATCATAGTTCATACCTGATGGGAGTCAGGGCCGGAACCCAAACATGGCAGGAACCTGAAGGCAGGGGCTGATGCTACTGACTTGTTCCCAAAGGCTTGCTCAGCCTGCTTTCTTAGAGGACTGAGGACCAGCAGCCCACAATGGGCTGGGCCCTCCCCCACTGATCACTAATTGAGAAAATGCCTTACAGCTGGATATCAGAGGTATTTCCTCAGCTGAGGCTCCTTCCTCTCATGATTCTAGTATGTGTCAAGTTGACATAAAATTAGCCAGCACAGACTTAAAACACTAAAATTCAGAGAGCATTATACCAAACGTTTAAATTACCCTCAACAATTTTCTTTTAGTGTCCATGATTCTTTATTAATACATATATAAAATGGGAGGCACACACCTGCCACATCCATGTGGAAGTTGCAAGACAGCTTTTGGGAATTTGTTCTTTCCTTCCTTCCACCTTTATCTGGTGATCAAACCGAGGTGGTCAGGCTTGTGGGTCTGACAGCAAATACCTTTATCTGCTGAGCAACCTGACCAGCACACAACTGTAGGATTTTTGACAATGTGTGACTCATGCGTTGTTAGATATTGCTAAAGAAAATATTAAACAAATGTGCCAAAAGTTAACTAACAAGGATTGTTTCAAAGCACTAGGAAGTCATCTTCAGTGTCTGCAGCCTGTTCTCTTTAATGGAATCCTCATTCTTATACTGTAAACTACAAATTCAAGTCTTTAAGGATAAAAAAAAAAAGCTCTAACTAAGGTAATAAATGGACAAGTGGTGAGCAGGGGGCACAAGGTATTTAAAGGAGTTCTCAAAATAAAGTCAGTATCTTAAGTCTATGGTCCCAGCACTCTTAAGCCTGATTGAAGTGTGGCAGGCACACTGCCAGAGTCACGAGATGAATACAGCGAGGGAATTCTCATGGGCAATTACAAACCACGCTCAAACAACCTAGAGACTGGGGCTGCAGCAATGCTGGTCGCAAGGTCGCCGCCGGGAGAGCGAAGATTCATCCAAGAGATGGGACAGGACTGGGCTTGGCACTGGGAAAACGCAAGCTTCTTGCCTGTCGACCAAGCCAAGAGGTAGCATTAGTGAAAGGAGCAGTTACTGTTCCATCTTTTGCAGTTCTGGATATCAAAGTTAGGGAGTGACATAAAGTAGAAAGCCCATGCTAACTGAGAACACTACATTTAAAAATAGCCTAGTAGCACGGAGTGGTAGCTGCAAGTTCAAGTCCAGCACGGGATACAGTGGGAGACGCTATCTCAAATGGTACCGAGTAAATCCAGATAATGCTAGAGGCAAAGCCAAGTAGGAAATGTAGGCCAGAGAGGAACAGGAGACTTCAAACTCGGCTGTATCTGGGAAGCAGATCAATACTTCCAACGGCTGCTCAGCGAGGATTAGCGTCCGCAGAGCGCCCCGCGCCGCCCCCTATACCCCTCAGGCAAGGGAGCTGCGCATGTGCGCATTCGCCCCACCCCCTGGCTCCGGCTCCTCCTTCACCTTTGCTCTTCGTCCCACCCCCACCTCCACCTCCCCGCCAATCATCTTTCTCCCTCAGACCCAGTCGGCGCCAGAGCGCAAGCTGTGTCTCCCGAAGCCCGCAGGTAGCGGGGTAAGGACACAAACTCCTGCGGCTTTGCAGCGGGGAGGGAGGAAGGCCACCGACAGACGGCCGCAGCCCCGGCCGGAGAGCGGCTCGCAGGCCGGCCGGCCGTGCGCAGGCGTTCTGGGAGGAAGGCCGCTCCGCCGTAGCCAATGAGCACGGGTGCTGCGGCCTGCTCGCCGGTCAGGGTGACCCGGGCCTGCGCGGGCCTGAGGCAGTGGGCGAGGCCTGTCAGGACCTCCGTGCTTAGCCCAAGTTGACCAGGGACTCCACCCTTGCCCAGAGCTCGACCTGTGAGTGCCTGAGGCACGGGCGAGGCCTCCAGGTGCGATCTGGGTTTAGGCTGTGGGGAGAGCCTGGCGGCTGGTGGGGCAGTGGGAGGCCAAGTTGCGGGCCCTCCAGTTCACCTCTAGACCTGCAGTCAAACTGAGTAGTCTCTTAGAGGGGAGGTGGGAAGTGTAGTCCTTGAGAGGGTGCACTACACCACTAAAGAACTTAGTGACTTTGCTAATTAATAGAATTAAAATACAAATTGTGAAGATTCACAGTTATTGCTGTGAATATGTGTGGGAGTGGACTTTAAGGGTGTAGGGAAATGGCCAAAGGAAACGCGATCAGGCGGAATTGATCAGTGTGGGACCACTGGAGGCTTAATATAGAGGTCATATAGTTGTCGTCTTTTAAGGTATCAAAAGCTTGGTTGCTTGGTTGACTGAAGGAAGCATTTATCCCCAGATGGCCTTCCGAAAAGGAACTGGAGATGCCTGATACCCCTTTGCTTAGTGTTGATGAAGGGATTTTAAGCTCAGGGAAATTGGAACGCTATCGCGGGTACGCTGTGAAAAATCTAGTCCTCCATCATGGGAAGGACCAAAAGACTTGCCCTACACTAATCCTATAGGATGCGGATGGGTTGAGGGCCACGAGCATTTCGGAAGAGCCTTGGTTAACTCCTTTTCTCCTGCCAGTTCTTAGGGTTGGCAACTGACGCTCAGCTGGATGACTTACATTCAGCAGGTTTGATTGGACCCTGGATACACAGCACCAAGGCCTGTATATAGGTGAGGCTGGGCCAGCAGTACCAGTATCCTTGAAATGAAGTGTTTGCAACCATCCTGTTTTCTCCTGTGCCTTTGATCTTCAATTGTGTGGATCTCCAGCAAGAGATATAAAAAGGAAGCTAACGAACTTGTTATCCATTGATGTATCTAATACTGTTCCCCGATTTTGCTGTTCTTGTATACGTTTTACCCTACTCTAAGTAGGGAGCCTAAAAGCAACGGAAAAACTAATGTCAGGTCTCTGGGTGAGAGGGTGCATGCTTTTAATCCCAGCGCTACAGAGGCAGAGGCAAATGGATCTCTATGAGCTGGATGGTAGCCTGGTCTACATAGTGAGCTCCAGGCCAGCCAAGTCTACATAGTGAGATCTTGTCTACAAAAACAAAAACAAGATAAGAAAGAAATGCATGGTTTTACCATTACTTGAGAGAACAAATTTCTTCTAAAACCTCACTATAGTTACAAAGAATAGTTACACTTTACTAACGTGAGAGTAGTGGGAGACTTAGTTAAAATAAACTACTTTCAAATACAAATAGTGCCAAGAGGCTGAAGCTCAATCTTGAAGATCTCTTATTTGACAACTTCAGTACTTGTCAAACATACTGGCCAGAGGCAGTTGGGTCTGCACAGCAGTTCCGGGCCAGCCTGAGCTACAGAGAGTGTTGCAGGCCTCGGGGAAGAAGGGGAAGGAACGGAACAGAAGGCATTATCACTATCAAGCAGGTCCAAGAACTCATTTATACCAGTGTGTAATTGGCTGCCTTCTGTCCACATAGCAGACCATTTCCTTGGCACAAGGCATTCCAGGGTGTCCTCTCCCATGGCTCTGTGCGTTTGCTTGTGTCTGTGTCCCTCTTCTCCACCCCCTCTTCCTGCTCTGTAAGTTTAGTGCAAACAGCAGTTGTCTTAATGCTTGTTTAGTGTTTTACCTTGGACCTAACACAGCACTCGGTGAATGCTCATCGGTACAGTGGTGAGGTAGGAATCAGAATGCTGGTAGACAGTGCCTGTAGTCGCCCGGTCCTGTGGCTGCCCTAGGTGGGCTAGGCTTTTGAAGCTAGTGTCACCAGCATCGCAAAGCCCGCAGTCCTCTGTGCCGCCGTCTGTAGCAGTGGAAGAGACAGTCCCTTGCTGCTGGCTGTGCAGACCGAGTTCATCCAGAGATTTTACTCGGCCGAAGCTGAGATCTTGATTTACACTGCAGAAAAAGAATTTCAGGGTAAGACAATATGAAGACAGGCTAGAGTTTTTTTTTTATTTTTATTCATTTTTTGTCTTTGTTTTTCGAGACAGGGTTTCTCTGTAGCTTTGGAGCCTGTCCTGGAACTAGCTCTTGTAGACCAGGCTGGCCTTGAACTCACAAAGATCTGTCTGCCTCTGCCTCCCGAGTGCTGGGATTAAAGGCATGCGCCACCACCGCCTGGCTCAGGTTAGAGTTTATTAAGAAAAGATTTTCATATAAATATAAGGGTATATATAACAAGAAACTTATTTCTCCTCACAAAGGTAATAATGATAGGAAGTTCATATTATATGTCAAATACACATGACCCTGGCCTGGGAAGATGGGTCCAGGTTCCCCTGGATAACATATTCCAGTGGAGAAGCAGTTATGTGAGCTTTCAGTGGCAGGATAGAAGAGTCATCGGTACCTGGTGGCACTGTCTGAGAAGGCTGTGGACTCTTTAGGCAGGAGGAAGAGCCTTGTTGGAAGAAGTACATCAGTCACTGCACCCCACTTTCTGTTCTTTCTGATCCCTCCTGCCACCATGCCTTCCCCGCTGAGTGTTGTGTCTTACCTGCTGATGGACCACATCCCCTTCTGGAAGTTAGCCAAAAAAAAAAAAGAAAAAAAACCACCTATTTCTCCTTATATTGCTCTTGTCGGGATATTTTTGTATCACAGCAACAGAAAAATAACTAGAGTTTTATATATGTTTTATTAGGTTAATACTTAAGCATTTCACTTTGAGGATAGTAACATAATGGTTATATCTCGAATTTCACCTGTTCAGCTCTTCTGTTTGCTTGTTCATCTGTCAGGCAATTAATGGATGCTTGGAGGTTGCCGTGCGTATTCAGAAATGTTTTGCCACCTGAAGCCTTTGAGGAGGTAAGCCCTGTGGTCCACTCTGTTTCTTTAGGGGAAGGTCTGTTATGTATTGAGCTCATTTCAACTTGTTTTTCAGATCCTGAAACTGTCTCGTTTTATGGTTTTAGGCAGGAACAACAACAACAACAGAGATAAAATTCATCTGCGCAGCCAAATTGTCTAAGGCTCCATTCAGAGCAGGAGATAGCAGATCCTCACAGGATCGTTCCGTCTGGAAGACTAAAGATTAAACTGCCCAGTGCAGCATTGTGTTCCCCAACTGTAGAGCACTTAGCTTGGTGTTTTAGAGTTTAAGAGACAATGACTATAATAAGAACACAAATTCCTCCTCCTGGTGCACAGTAGATACACGGCAGTTATACAAACAAGTACACGTGGGTGGAGACGTTTGTGCACAGTGGAGTATGGGGCTTAGAAATCAGGTAAAAGGAGAATAAGGGGGGAAATTGGGGCTTAGCTGAGGGCTCTGCGGAAGGGGGGTGAGACAAAGTCTCGTGTAGCTCAGGCTGACCTCACACTCATTACGTAGTCCTGGCTTGGTCTTGAATTCCTGGTCCTCCCTTTCTGCCACACTGGAATCAGACTTCTGCCACCACACTCAACGTAGTTTCTGTAAGGAATGTTTGAGAGTAAGTTGGAAAGATTGATTAAGAAATAATTACTGAAGCTTTTAAATATAAGACTCAGAAATGAATCTTACCCTGTCAGAACTGTGGAAGCCATCGAAAGGTGTTTATGTAAAGAATACAGTGGCATGTGTCATGATTTGAGAAAAGTCAGCCTCAGTCTGGTAGCAGAGAAAGTATTGACTCTAGAATCAATTGGTTCTGGAATCTCTATCATCGTAACAGTACAAAACCATTTCCAAGGACTCAGAATACCTGATTGTTTGCAAAGCGTGCCCGATACTTAGAGACTTTTTACAATAATTAGGATGGAAAATATAAATTGCAGTATTAACAAATAGGCACTGTGGAATTGCTTCCCAAGAATTGTAAGTCATTTCCTTTGAGCTCAGAAACGTAGTATTATTGAAGTATTCATTGAGGAAAACAAAAGGTACTTTAAGAACAGTCCAGACAGTTTGGGGCACAGTTTAAGAAAGAGAATGTCACGTTGTCTGACTGGAATGTGTTTCTGCTCTAAAGCCTCCAGTTAGAAACCAGACAGACTGCAGCAGATCCGTTTCTGTGTTGTTGCCGTGGTTGTTCTCCGCTCTGTGCTTGTGGGTTGCCTGTCACGTGCATGGTAGATGTGTGCTTGTCCCAGAGAGTAACACCTGTGTCTGACAGGTTCTGCCTGAAGAAGACCCTCCCTCCCTGGCTTCCCTCCTCTCGGGCTCTGTCAGGAGCAGAAGCCGTCAATGCCTTAAGACCTTTCTACTTTGCAGTTCATCCCGATTTCTTTGGACAGCACCCCAGGGAAAGGGTAAACACTTAAATACTTTTTTTAACTCGTTGTCTATATGTCTAGTTGATTTACCTTTGAGCCAGTATAATAAAGTTCTGTAAGTTTTGGATTATCCTGTCATGGTGATGTTTGACACCGAAGCAATACTTACTTGAAAAATAATAAAGTTTCACATTAATAAATTTAGCAAATATTTATAATGTTAGAAACTGAAGCCATTGTTTATTCAAAGCTGTCATTATTTCTATAAACAATAAAGTTGCCACATAAATTCAAGAGTCTACTAATCATGTTTCCTGTACTAGTTTTTGGAGTAAAACGGAAGATTTGAGGAACAAACCTTTCTTACCTGATGGAGCCTTTCTCTGAGGATACGCTAGGCAGATTGTCAGTGCCTGGGGATTTCCCAGCATGCTGTGTGCTGCCAAGCTGGTGCTGCGTGTTTTGTGCTCAGGGGGTACAAACTGACAAAAGCCCTGGGGAAAGCTCAGAGCTGTCAAGATTTTTTTAACATTAGATGATGATATCACAGAGCTAAGAGCATTAGCGTTCTCATTGGTCCCTTTGTTTTCATTAACATTGATCCCTGATTGAACTTGAAATACTAAACCCTGGACACCAGGCTCAAGTGAACGTCCCTCCTCGGTGGCGCACCTTGAACATGGCTGCACATCACTCCTGGGCATGAAGACCTGGCTGTGAGTCTGCACTGTGGAGCAGCCAAGCGCTTGCCCTCAGCCATGTGACCTGTCCACTGCCAGCAAACCTGCTCTAGTAAACCTTGCGTATACCAGCCCTTCTGTGCTCTGTCCATTGGGGACGCTCACTGCTCTCTCAGCTTGGACGGCCCTTGCAGATAACCCAGAGATGCCTCATCTCTCCTTTCAGTGAGCTCCCAGGCTGCCTTCCTTTCCAGTGTTCCTCTTCTTACCTATTAGTATTTTCTCTATTTCTGTGTTCCTTCCCGTGTGCCCCATCGTACTTAGGTTTATTGTTTGTCTCCTGTCATCAGTGAAATGCAGGGTCCACGAAGGCTTCTAATCCAACTGACCATTACTCAGCATAGACTCTTCCCTGGCTCACCAAAAGCTTGCCTTCTGCAGAGGACAGACGCAAGCTCCAAGTGCTTGTCCCCCTTCCTTCTCCAAATGCAGGATTTCACACTGGCACCCACTGGTGTGGTTCTTTTCCTTTTAATACTCCAATTTTAAAATATGTGATACTAATAGATTAAAAAAAATCACAGCTAGGGGGCTGGAGAGATGGCTCAGAGGTTAAGAGCTTTGCTTGCTCTTCCAAAGGTCCTGAGTTCAATTCCCAGCAACCACATGGTGGCTCACAACCATCTGTAATGAGGTCTGGTGCTCTCTTCTGGCCTGCAGGCATACACACAGACAGACTATTGTATACATAATAAATAAATATTTTAAAAAATCACCGCTAAATACAAAGTTCACTTAAAAATCTCAGTCTGATCCCTATTTCCTTTATCCCATTCCTGTTCACTTCCTATTGATCTTTGCTTTTGTTGACTTCTGGGTTACCCTTCCATTGTTTCTTTTGACAGAAATTAAAACATCAAAAGTAACTTTGAAGATTGCAGTTTTATTTTGGATAGAGTTTGGGTTTGGTTTTGAGACAGGGTGTCACTATGTGACTTAGGCTACCCTCAAACTCAAGACATTCCTTCACCTGCCTTAACTTCCCAAATAAGGGGATTCTGGTTTGTACCACGAAGCTCTAGCCCACTTGCTTTGTTTTGGTTTGGTTTGGTTTGGTTTTGGTTTTGTTTTCCGAGAGTGCCTCACGACGTAACTCAAGTTGACCTCAGCCTTGCTATGAATCCCAGACTGAACTGAAGCCAACAACCACCTTGCCTTAGATGTGACATCTGTCACTCTGTAGATGACCTGGCTGGTTAGGCAGGTGTCCTCCCTCCAAAAGCTTGGTGCTTGGTTTAAAAGGATGGCTTTCTCTGATCGGGGTCAAGTGTATCCCAGTAGCTGCTCCACTACCAGAACCTCCAAACTCACCCAGCTGCTGGTATTTTAGGAGTGTACCCCTGCATGCAGCAAGATTTAGCTCAGTCATAAGAAGGTACCCAATCTTGCCTAGGGATTCTCCTGAACAAGCATTTCATATAGTAAGTTCTAGAAACAAATATGCAAAGTGATTTCCACTCTCAAGTATTGTTTTCAGGAAAAGAGATTTAAATAGTCAGTTGTTATTGCCAGTCATGCACACCTTAATTCCAGCAGGGCCAGGCAGACAAGGCCTTGCTAAAAACACCAACAGAAAACAAACAAAAAACCACCAATTGTTATTAATCCAAGCCTGGAAATGTGCAGCTTCACAGCCTTCTGGAGACTCAGACAGAGAAACTTCAAATCAACTTCAAGGTCATCCTAGGCTTAATTGAGAGACTTAAAAAAATAACAGTAATAAGGCTAGCACGATGGCTCAGCCAGGAAAGGCGTTTACTGCCAAGGTGGTCAGCCTGAGCTCAATCCCTATGTCCATGTGGTGGGAGAAAAGAACGGATTCCTGGAAATTGATCTCTGGCTTCCACACATGTGTGTAACACGTGCACACAAAGTAAACATAACTAAAGGGGCAGTTACTGTTCACATCATTCTGTTACCAACAGTACTTCTTTCTTATATAGCAATTGTCCTTGAAATCCCTCTGTGTCTGTCCTCTCTATCCTGCTTCCCTTCTGCGGACTGTGTAGTCCTCCAGTAATTGAGAAGTTGCCATGGTCATACACATCGAAGAGCCTGTTAAAGCCCTTTACTATAAAATAAGCTATATTTTCTCCTATTTAGTTATGTGCCTTTATGACATTGCTTACTGCGTGTATATGGATTTTTCTTAGTTTTTCTAACTTTTTTTTTTTATAAAGAGATGTATCTCAATGGTCTGTTATGGAGATACTAATAGAGATAATAGATCCAATTATATGATCATTAATTTATTGCTTTGGGAGAGTAGTCATAACTGAGCTGCTCTTACTCCTAAGTGAAGAAGGAATCCAGTCACACTTTACCCTGATGCTTCCATGGGTCTGTGTTGTGTCTCATCTTCAGCTGTTATCCATCACACACCCTGGAATGTGGAGCTAGCTTTTTTACCAAACGGCTAAGAGATCCCAGCACTTCCTTAAGGCGTGTGTGTGTATGTGTGTACATCTGTGTCAGTGTTGGGCTGAGTGAGTGCAAGTGCCCATGGAGGCCAGAGAAGGGCACTGGATCTCCTGGAGATGGAGCTCCAGGCAGTTGCACGCTGTCAGCTGGGTGCTGGGAACTGAACACAGGTCCTCTGCGAGAGCAACCTGTGCCCTAAACCACTTAGCCTCCAGGTCTCAGGTTTTTGTTTGTTTTAAGACAAACACTGTGTAGGTCTCACTGTGTAGCTCAAGCTGGCATGGAACTTGGAGCTCACTGTGTAGACCACTATGTAGGCTAGCCTTGAACTCACAGGGCTCTGGCTGCTTTTGCCTCCAAGTGCTGGAATAAAAGCCATGTGCCACAATGTCAGGTTCCCTCCACATTTTTAACAGTAGATTACTTACTATCTTCAATACATTTAAGGACCACAAATAATTTCTTCTTTCTTTATTCACATGTAAATGCCCTTATGGTTTGTTTTTGTTTTTTCCCTAGGAAATCAATGAAAATTCTCTTAAGAGATTAAGTGTCTACTTAGAAAATCTCCAGAAACCAGGCTTCAAGTCTCTGAAACCAACTCAGCTTACATTTTATATAAGAGAAAAAACAGCTCAGAACTCCTTGGAAGGCCAGGAACCTATCAGTACTTCTGGTAAGTTGTTTTATTTCTAGTGTGTCCCTTTCCAGCTTCAAGTAAAACGTGTTCATTATGTCTGACATTGCCAGAATACCTTTGGATGAAAGCCTTGATTGTTGAAAAATACCATATAATTGGTTTCCTAGAATTAGATTCTGTTCCTAACCGCATATGTTCAAACATTTTATTTTCCTGAATATTCCATCCAAATGTTAGGGTTCATGCCTTTAATCCCAGTACTTGGGAGGCAGAGGCAGGCAGATATCTGTGAGTTTGAGGCCAGCCTGATCTACGTAGTGAGCTCTAGACCAGCCGTGATGGTGTTTAGCCAAACTCTAGAGTAAGGCCCTGTACCAAACAACAAAAGCCCCAAAGTATTCCTGTTTACGGTCTCCCAAATCTCATGTTGGTCTGAGTGTGAGGCATGTCTGTTACATTCAAACTTTGAAACCTACAGTGTTCCTTCTCTTCCTGTCCCTGTGAAGGTAGAATGTTTAACTGTTTGTGACCTACTGACATCTGCCCTACTTCCAAAGACCACAGAGACAGAGTAGGGTCTTGAACTCAAGTGTCTAAACTTCCACCTGATGCTGTTTCTACACAGCCTTCTCTCTAAGCACCTACTTTCCCATCAGAATGAAGTAAGGTTGACAAGTAGGACCTCTAGCTGTGGCTGCATACCTGTTACCCCAGTGTGGTGATACTGTGTTTGTGCTGTAACAAATAACACCTGAGGATCAGAGTGTGGAGCTAAACCACCAGTTAGCTGTGGAGGCCAGGCAGAGGTGGTGCACACCTTTAATCCCGGCACTCAGGAGGCAGAGGCAGACACCTCTGTGAGTTCAAGGCCACCCTGGGCTACACTAGATTGACCCAGTCTCAAGAGAAAAAGAGCCAGGAGGGGGTGGCTCACACCTTTGATCCCAGCAATTGGGAGTCACATGCATTTAATCCTAGGAAGGTGGAGACAGGAAGTGATATGGCTGGGCAGAGAGAGGAATATAAAGTGGGCGGAGACAGGTGCTCAAGGCATTCAGTCTGAGGACTTGCAGAGACAGGATACCCCATTTGGTCTGAAGATTTTGCAGAGGTTAGAACTAGTGGCTGCTGCTCTGCTTCTCAGATGTTTCAGCTTTCACCTCCTAATATCTGACTCCAGGTTTTTATTACTAAGACCAATTAGAAATCGTGTTACACCCCAGTCCTTGGGATGCTAATGTAGGAAGACTGAGTTTGAAGCCATCCTGGATGGTCAGAGGAAGATCCTGTCTCAAAAATAGACAAAAAAAAAAATGTGAAGAGCTGGATATGTTGGCATGCCCGTGTTCCTAGCCCCCAAGAAGCTCAGGCAGGAGAATTTCTACCAGATAGAGGTTGGCCTGGGCTACATGACAAGATTCTGCCTTTTAAAAAAAGGTAAAGGCCTGCCCTGTCCCTTCTTGAAATATCTGTCCTTTTGGTTATCCTTGAAGAAATAGCTTTATTTTTAAAAAACTTTTAAATAGTTTAAGATTCATTGATTTAAAATGTCTCTGATACATAGAAAATACTTAAACTTCTGCCTGTGATTCCTGACTCTATTATTATTAAAATGAGAGTTGCAGTATTGCATAGAAAACCCCTCATAGTCCCTCAGAACCTCAGATGGAAAGAAGGGCTCCATCTCAAAATCAGGAGAGATTCCATGATCAGGAAAGTGGTTTTCTCAAGGTGAGGTTCATCCATTGCCTTCTGAGTGAACTTAAATTCGGGAAATCAGCTGCGTGGTTTGTGTTGGGGACTGCATTCGAGTTCTCCCCGTGAAAGAAAGAAAGAAAGAAAGAAAGAAAGAAAGAAGAAAGAAAGGCCTCTCTTCATGTTAAAGATGGCTTCCAAGCCAGCCTAAGGACTAGCATTTGATAGTGTCTTTCATTCTCCCACGATTGACTGTGGAGGTTAAAAGTCACACATTCTTTTTCTCGGCAGTTGCTCTGTCTGACTCAGGGTTTTATTCAAAATAGCCAGGAACCCAGCATGGGGAGCCTGAGAGAGGAGAATTATGGGTTCCAAACCAGCCTGGATTACAGATTGTAGTAATTTATAAAGCACTTTATACACCAAAGAAATCAGAGTATCTCCCTTACAAAATGGTCTATAACTCAGCAATAAAAAAGCAAATTGAAGTGCCCAAGAGCTGTTCTGCCTTATGTTGACCTGTTTCCACTGATAATGTCTGTACACAATAGAGTGCTTCTGCAAGCCAGGCATGGTGGCTCACACCTCCCATCCCACAGCAGGAGGCAGAGGCAAGAGGATCTGCTGAGTTTGAGGCGAGCCTGGTCTAAATAGTGAGTTCAAATCAAGCCTACAAATTGAGACCCTGTCTCAAAAAGAAATTGGAAGAAAAGCTTCTTCATGGTCTACTGTGAGCTATGTAAATTCAGACTATTCCATCTTAGTGCTGGAATTGAACCTAGGGCCTCACAAACTTAGCCAAGTGCTTCACTCATGAGTGCGGTTATCCCAGCCCCACATACACTCTTAGAATGTCCCTCGTGATGATCTCATCAGAAGCCACAAAGCTGCTGTTCTCAGAAGGAATCCTAAAGATCTAAAGGATATGCTCTGGAGAGCAGCCTGTGTGATGAGTTCAGTAACCAGTGAATAGATAAGCTAAAATGGAATCTGTGTAAACGCCCTGGCTATGAACTCACTTTGTAGACCTCAAACTCACAGAGCTCCAGCTGCCTCTGTCTCCCAAGTGCTGAAATTAAAGCTGTGTGCTGCCACACCCAACTTGCTTTAGTCATTTTTGTAGGTGTTTATTTTGCATGCATGCATGTCTATGTATCACACTCATGCTTGGTGCCCAAGATCAGAAGAGGACATCAGATCCCCTGGAACTGGGATTGCAGATTCTTGTAAGACACCGTATGGGTGCTGGGAATCGAACCCATGTCCTCTGCAAGAGCAGATGCTGAACCATCTATCTCTCCAGCTCTCTCCCCAGCTCTGCTTTATAAAGCCAGAGTCTCACTGTATAGCCCTGGCTGGCCTGGAACTTGCTATATAGACAAAAGTTGCCTCTCATAGAGTCCCCTAGCTTCTGCATCCTGAGTGTTGGGTGTGGCCTATGAAGCTACCAGCTCAGCTACTTAAGTTGGAGCTTCTTCTTCCTGCTTTCAAGGAAAATGTTTGAATTTTTTTTTCGGGCTGGAGAGATGGCTCAGAGGTTAAGAGCACAGGCTGTTCTTCCAGAGGTCCTGAGTTCAATTCCCAGCAACCACATGGTGGCTCACAACCACCTGTAATGAGATCTGGTACCCTCCATGCCAGAATACTGTATATATAATAAATAAATAAATAAATAAATCTTTAAAAAAAAGAATTTTCTTTTCTTCTGCCAGTAATCTTCACCTTACCATCAAATGATCCTATTAAGAAAAACTTTTTAGCTTTATAATGTTGTTTATTGTGAATGTGTGTACCAAGCAGAGTATAGCTGCAAGAATGAGTTAGGCTCTGGCTCTTAGGAACAATTACATCAGGAGGGTTGGGCCGTATCAACAGAGTGCTTGCCATCCAAGAGCATGCACCTGAGCTCTAGCTCCTGCACCTCACAAGACAAACAAACAAGCTAACTGATAGCATGCCTTGTAATCCCAGCACTGGGGAGGTAACAGGAGGATTCCTGAAGCCCACTGGCCAACCAGCTTCACCTGGGAGACCACCCAGATCCTTCAAAATAAGGTGGACAGTGCCAGTAGAACACCCTGAGGGGGACATCCACCTCCACAAGCATGCCCATGAACACACATGAAGGTGCACACGTGAACACTCAAAACAGAAAAGAAGGAAGGCGGGCAAGCAAACAGAGCAAGCACATTTCAGTCTCACACAGAATTCTGAAAATTACTTCAATTCCATCAGTATTGAAAGTGATAAATATGTCATGCTGTGGTTATTAAGTTAACTTTAGCATGTAGCTGCTGAAAAGAATAGGCTCATTTATACATACCAATGTGGAAGATATTAATCCCACTGAATGAGAGTAAAGACCACCAACCCAAATGTTTTTAGTCAAATTAAGCAAGCTTTATTTTCTGTCAGACAAGGCTGTTTCCCTACAGCAGGATTTGAGAAAATGGCATTGAACATAGGAAAAAGTAGGGTTTTATGGCGCCTGCACCACCTGGAACCGCAGTTGGGCAAGGGTCTGGGGATTAAAAAACACACAGAGACACGGGTCACTCTTGAAACAAGAATGCCAGTTCTATTGTGTTCCAGGACAACTTAGATGGCTCTCCTTGACTAATGGCCACGCCCTAACTCTCAGGATAATGACCACGCCCTAACTCTCAGGATAATGACCACGCCCTAACTCTCAGGATAATGGCCACGCCCTAACTCTCAGGATAATGACCACGCCCTAACTCTCAGGATAATGGCCACGCCCCAACTCTCAGGATAATGGCCATGCCCCAACTCTCAGGATTTTTTCAGCTGCAAGCCCACCAGAAACCACTCCCTTGTTATCAGGAACTCATGAGGGTCTTGTGCTCAGAGCAGCTGCAAGCATAGGAAAACAAGTTGTTTATTCCTTCAGGCAAGGGGTCATAGGAAGTTCAGGGTCTGAGGGTCTGCAGTCCCCAACAGAGTTTCTGTAGTCTCAAAACTGCAAGGCTTGGGGCTTTCTAAGGGCTGGGAGATTTTAGGTTATGTGGGAAGTTGTTGAATATTTCAAAATTATTTGGTAGAACATCTTATCAGGGTGAAAATTTCAGAGGATAGGATGTAGGACATGCCAAATTCCAGAAAATGGGTCAAGACACAGGCAAATCCAAGTTTTACAGAAAACAGACATGAACTTATTTTAACCTTGTAACAAGATGACTTCTAATCTTAAAATGGAGTCAGCCTGGTCCATCAAAAGGTCACCAAGTTAAGAGAAAAAAGGTTCACATATGGATAATAGGTCCATAACGATACCATCTGCAATAAAAGGAGCAATTTAAAATGGGTATGTGTGTGTTTATAGAAACATACACCTTATGACATAAGCATTTGTTTCATATACAGTTCAGAGAAGCATATAGAAAGGGTTAGAACAGTACTGTCTGTATAAGAAAAGTACGTATTCCACAGATGTACTCCCAAGTAGAGCAGACACCAGCCATGTGACTGCTGAGTATTTGAAATGTTGCTCATGTAATTGAGGAACTGAGTTTTAAGTTTTGGTTTTTTATTTTTTTTTCATAATTTATTTATTTTCATTTTTATTGCTGTTTTGCTTGCATATATGTCTGTGTGAGGGTGTCAGATCTTGGAGTTACAGATAATTGTTAGTTGCTATATGGGTCTGGAAATTGAACCTGAGTTCTCTGGAAGAGTAGTCAGTGCTCTTAACCACTGAACCATCTCTCCTGTCCCTTAAGTTTTATTTAAATGTTTTTGTAGTGGTGGTGTTGGTGGTGGGGATGATGGATTTGTTTGAGGGAGGGGGTGAGGTAGGTTTTATTCTTTTGAGGAAAAGTTTCTTAGCCCAGGCAGGCCTCAAACTCACTATACCTAGCCAAGGATAACCTTAAAGCCCCAATCCATCTGCCTCTACCTCTCCTGTACCCCACGCCCAGCTTAGCTTTAATTATTTCATTTGTGAATATCCACGTGTGCACGATTAGCTACATTGTTAATACGTGTTGTTCAGAGACTACGTGCCAGCTGTTGACAGTGGTTCTATCTAGTAAAGGCGTGAGACTATATGCCTCCTTATAGACTTTTAGTTGTGTCTGTATGAAACTACAATGAGCATGTGCTTATAAAGTATTTGTAGACAAAGTGATAGCACACACCTCTAATCCCAGTACTCAGGAGGCAGGCAGAGGCAAGCATATATCTGTGAGTTTGAGGCCAGCCAGGGCTAAAAAGTGAGACCTTGCCTAAAATAATAATGATACTTAATAGAATTTTATTTTTTTTTGTCAGGGCTATGAACCAAACCTAAGGATTTGTGTGTTCAAGAACTCTGCCACTGAACTAACTTAACTATATTTCTAACACCCTTGTGTAATTTTTGAACTACTTTTAAAAATTGGGGGTTGCCTGGAGAGATGGTTTGGTGATTAAGAGCACTGGCTGTTCTTCCAGAGGACCTCTGTTCAATTCCAAGAATCCACATGGTGTTTACAGCAGTCTGTAACTCCAGTTCCAAGGGGATTGTACACCTTCTTCTGGCCTCCCTGTGCACCAGGAATACATGTAGTACACTTACACACACACACACACACACACACACACACACACACACACACAAAATCAATTAAAAAAAATTTTAAAGATGAGCTTCTGTGACTACCACTAGGTAGATGTTGCTTGGGCCTTCCCTTAGCAGGCACTGCCAACGCAGGCGTCCCCGTGTGCCCTTCTTTCTGCTAGAAACTTTGTGATGGACATGGAAGCACTTACCTCTCTTTAGTAGCAAGGTTCATGGGCAGCACTGAAAACCACCTCCATCCCTTCTCAGCTAGGGTGAGTGTCCTCACTGGTGGAGACGGGAATGCTGCTGTGGAATTGGAAGAGGGAGTGGTTTCCATTTGCTGGGTGATTTTTAATGGCTAATAAAATGTTTTTAAAGATTTTAACTCTATAATTGTTTCATGAAAAATGATTCTAAGGTAAAACAAGTGATCGTCTGTATTAATTGTTTGGGGAATTATATTCTCTAGGATTTCGAGCAGTCAGATTTACTTTGCACACCAGCGATCTGCTAAGCACAGTGTTGTATATTCTCAACTCCTGCAGTTTGTCTGCTGAACACGTCCAAAGCTTGAACACTACTAACGTGCATTCCCAGCCTCTCCAGGAAGCTACAGGGATGCCTGACAGACCCATCAAATGGCATAAGTCCTACTATTCCTTCACTGGGTTCAAGGACCCTGACGAAGACCTACATGTCTCAAGAGTGGAGACAACCCTAATGTAAGTCAAAGGTTTTATTTCAACAGCCTCATGTAGTTTATGTTTAAATGTGTTCTGGTTTTATAAGAAAAGAAATTTTAGTAATATTTTTAATACAGAAACCATGAGAAAAGATATCTTATGTGTCTTGCTTAAAGTTGCAAAAATATTTCCATTTTGTTATTGTTTAATACCAGCTACATGCAAAAGATTTAAGTTTTTTGTTTTGTTTTTTTTTAATAAGTTATTTAACTATTTTATGTGCATTTGTGTGAAGGTGTTAGATCCCCTGAAACTGGAGTTACAGACAGTTGCGAGCTGCCCTGTGAGTGCTGGGAATTAAATCGGATCCCCTGGATGAGCATTCAGAGCTCCTAACCTCTGAGTCATCTCACCAGCCCCAAGATTTAAGTTTTTTAAATCAATTATTTGCATGTTAGGCATTGCCAGTCTATATGGAGGGTTCAAAGGTGACTGACTTTAATAAAAATTACTTACAGAAAAGCACACCAGTTGTAGTGACACATGGCTAATCCCAGCCGGGAAAGAGAAGAGATGAAGGCAGACCACTCTGGGATACGTAATGAATCTCTGTCTCAGAATAAACAGACAGACACACAGACACACAGGTGGATAGATTAGATAGATAGATAGATAGATAGATAGATAGATAGATAGATAGATAGATAGATGGGTGGGTGGATGGGAGGTAGCTTTATAAAATATCTTAAATGGACAATTGTAAAAGAATGTTTTTAAATTATAACTAGATATGAGCAGGGTGTACAGTGCTTTCCTTTCATCTCAGCATTTGGGAAGCAGGGGCAGGAGGATCTCTGTGAGTTCAAGACCAACTGGGTCCACATACTTGAGTTCTGAGGCCAGCCAGGGCTGCATAATGAGACTCTCTCTCTCCTCACTCTCTCTCTCTCTCTCTCTATATATATATATATATATATATATATATATATATATATATCCGGGCTATATATATCCGGGCTATATATATCCGGATATATATATCCGGGCGGTGGTGGCACACGCCTTTAATCCTAGCACTCGGGAGGCAGAGGCAGGCAGATCTCTGTGAATTCGAGGCCAGCCTGGTCTACAAGAGCTAGTTCCAGGACAGGAACCAAAAGCTACGGAGAAACCCTGTCTCGAAAAATCCAAAAGGAAAAAAAAAAAAATATATATATATATATATGTGTGTGTGTGTGTGTGTGTGTGTATGCATATACATATTATACATATATGTATATATAATGTATGTGTGTGCATATGAAATATTTGGCACAGAAAACTATGAAATAAATTTGGAGGTGGGAGGTGTAGCTCAGTGGAAGAGCACTAGGAAAAAAAATAAATCTTGGTTGGAATAAATACAATGTGATGGGCTGAAATGTCAGCAAATTGAGTGTCACGTGGAAATGTAAAGTCAGTGCAGTCTGTAGCGACAGCCGTGACTTAGCAGTGGAAGGGTCGCCAGGTACTTTAGAGTGCTCTTGTTAACTTCATTAGCGCAGACTAAAAACACCTGCTGGGTTTTGCAAGCATTCATTTCCTCAGAATATGCCTGTGTCTGTGTGACCCATGCTGCTGTGGATTCTCTTTGTCCTCAAGATGCGCTTTTTTTCCATTCAGACTCTGTGTCTTACTCTGTACATTGAGGAGGAGAGCAGCTTTTTAAACTACTGTTTCAGGGATCAAAGTCAGGGAAAATCAGTCCAGGTGTCAGTAGCTGTTTGTCCTGGCATGATGGCGAACCTGTCGCTGCTTAAATAGACTCTTTCTTAGCATCATAGATGAAGTTAATAATGGCATAGCATATGGTAGATGGCTAACATCATACAAAGGGCTTTACATGGTTTGAAAACTGGTGTCTAAGATTTACGTGTACCCATTATAAGGCTCTGTGGAGTTTGAGTGTTGTTTAAGCAAGTGTACCTTTCTGACCGAAGTGTAATTCCAAGCCAGGTAAAATGAGAGCAGACAGTGTTGCGAGAGAAGGGACCCTGAACGTGAACCGCAGTGTGGCCCAAATGAGAGATGACACTAACGCCCAGTCTGACGCTGATGCTGACGCCAGCACTAGATTTATGAGTACACCTGTACTTTTTGCTTTATTTTGTTTTTGAAACAGAGTCTTACTACTTACCCTGGCTAGTCTAGAACTCTCAGTACAATCCAGGGTGATCTTGAACTTCCAGAAATGCAGCTGCCTTTCCCTCCAGAGTACTGAAATTAAAACTGTGTGCTAACATGCACAGCCTGGGTCTCTCTACTTAGCCCTGACTGTTCTAGAATTTACTCTGTAGACTAGGCTGGCCAAGATCCTCCTACCTCCACTTCCAGAGTGCTAGGATTAAAGGCCTGGACTAGTACTCCTGGCTTGGGAACCTAGTAGTCTTAAAAGGGGGGTGTGGGCAGGATTAATTGTAAATCAAAAAATAATGGGCACATTTACCTAGGAGTAAGGACCCTCTTTCTCATTCTGCCATGCAAAGCCCTTCATGGTCTTTCCCCTCTTCCCTTTCTTTGCGCCTCAGTATCCCCCCCCACCCCCCCGGCCCGTAGAACCATCTCTGTGGACGGCCAGTTCATCTGTGGATCCGTGTGCACTTGCATGATTGGCACACCCTTCCTTCTTACTCATGTGTCTCAGGCTCGGGTCCACGCTGCCTGGTACCTAGAACCTTCCAGCTGAAGTTAATTTCTGAGTCACCTTTTTCTTTCTGATACTCTGTTCTCCTTTTAGGTAAATCTTTACAACACCATGCTGTGTTATAGGATAAATATTTGTTTGATAAATTCATAATGATTTCATTGTTTTGCAGGTTTTAAACTTTAAAGCTTTAGCTCACTCTAAAATAGTTGATTGAAGCATCTTCTGTCTAAAGGCTTTATCAGGCACATTTGAGCTCTCTTTAGCATGACTTTTATTACATCTTATCGTGGACATACCCCACAGTTTTTCGGGCATCCCCATGAGGAGCTGTATGAGTGCCCTGTTTACTCTTTAAATTGTTCCTCTCCTCCTGGAGCTTTCTTTTGTACAGGTGTGCCGGAGGCCTACCCACTCCCACATCTGAATTGTTCCCCTTGGTTCATTCTGTGAAAACAAACACACACACACACTACATGCATTACTTTTTCACCACCCACAGACTCTACATAAGTATCTTATTTCTCTAGACTTCCTTTGGAGAGCGGAGACTGCAGGCAGTACCACGCATACCTGGTGAGACTGCTTAGCACAGCAGGAGACACCGTCCAGGGAGGGCAGTGCCCCTCTGGATGCTCCTTCTGAGACCCACCCTGCCTCGTCCTCAAAGCATTTTTTAACATTTATTTTTCCTTATAAGCTTATTGAGGAAAATATTCTAAGAAATAAGAATAAGAGCTTATTTTATACTGAGCCTATTTAACTATGTAGTCGATGAAATTGAGACAAGTCTTTAGCTGGGCACTGGGCTGGGTGAAGAGAAAGGGAGGCCCACTTGGATATATTCTGAGCACACTGTCACTAAAGAACTGGAGTGGTAAGGTCTAGTCCTCAGACAGATTAGGCAGAGAGATGAGGAGTTGGCTTTGAGAGCACAGGGTACTGCAACCTAGTATTAAAATCAAAGATTAACTAAAATAAAAGGTTCTGCCATTTTGGAATCCACAAGGCAGTTTTTCATCTCCTTCCTCAGGACACATCTGCGCAGTGTGTCTCTCTCAGCCATGTGTGGCCCACGTATGCTCACTGTGAGCTGCATGGTTCTCAGTTCCGCCCTCAGCTGTTGTGTGCAGAGTAATGAGCTCCTACAGCCAGCAGTAATGTTCTTAGTAATTAATCCATGTTCTCCAGTAAACAGTTAAAGGCTTAGAAGACTCTTCACATTCTTCCTGATTGTTTTATCTCTAAACATAGGGACAGGTATGGTCTGATTTAATTTTTGTAATACTGAAAAGAAGCTGCCATAATTGAACATGCAAGGGTGGACAGCCTCTTGAAGTGGGCTTGTTAGAAGTAAAGCTCTGGGAGGCTGGAGAGATGGCTCAACTGTTAAGAGCATGGCTGTTCTTCCAGAGGACCCAGGTTCGATTCCCAGCACCCACATGGCAGCTCTCAACTGTCTGTAACTCCAATTCCAGGGAACCTGACACCTTCACACCAATGCACATAAAATAAAGTTAAACAAATTATTTAAAAAAAAAAAACAGAAGTAAAGGTCAGACTGAACATTCAGGTTAACAGTAGACTTCTGGTTAGTTTGCTTTATTTTTGTTTGCGGTCCTAGGGGTGGAACTAGGGCCCCGCTTGCTCTAGGCGGGTGCTCTGCCGCTGGCCTCCATTCCCACCCCCGTTTGCTGTCTCTGGTTTCGGTCTAGGTCCTGGCTAGGTAGCAATGGGCAAAGTGCAGTGAAAAAGCTGAAGAACAGCTTGCCTCTTAGGAAGGAGCTGGATCGTCTGAAGAAGGAGCTGTCTGACCTTCTGCAACTTTCAGATATCAGGTAATAAAGTATCCTGGCTGTCTTACTGTCCTGGTCCTGTAAAAAGACATCATGACCAAGCAGTTCACAAAAGAAAACATCTAATTGGGAGTTGCTTACAGTTTCAGAGGGTAAGTCCATGACCGTCATGGTGGGGAGCATGGCAGAAGGCAGGCATGGTGCTGGAGCAGGAGCTGGGAGCTTAGATGTTGAGACAGCCATGAGGCAGAGAGAGGGGGCTCACTAGGAATGGCCTGGGCTTTTTAAACCTCGAAGCCTGTTCCCAGTGGCACACCGCCTCCAACAAGGCCACACCTCTTAATCTTTCCCAAGTAACTGCACGAAGTGGTGAGCAACAATTCAGACATGAGCCTATGGAGGCCATTCTCCTTCAGACCTCCACACTAGTACACACAATCAAATATGCAGGAATGAATTAGCTCAGTTAATAAAGTGCTTGCTTGGGACACACAGGGCCCTGGGTTTCATCCCCAACACCACAATAGCTGGGTATAGTGGTGCGTACCTGCGATCACACCGTTATGGAGGTAGAGGCAGAATGACCAGACGATGACGGGCATCTTTGGCTGTAAAGCAAGTTTCAGACTAGCCTGAAACTAATGAGACCTTGTCTCAAATATATATATATTTGCCAGGCAGTGGTGGTGCACGTCTTTAGTCTCAGCACTCGGGAGGCAGAGGTAGGCGAATCTCTGTGAGTTGGATACCAGCTTAGTATATAGAGCGAGTTCCAGGACAGGCTCAAAGCTACAGTGAAACCAGAGAGAGAGGGAGGGAGGAAGGGACGGAGAGAGAGAGAGAGAGAGAGAGAATAAACATCGTAGAAACATGATTCTCTCTGCTCCAGGAAGAGGCTGTTGACCTTGTCAAGAGTCAGTTGGGGTGAGAGCCTGTCCATCCCTCTGTACTGCTGTTAACGTGGCTTTGTCTGTTGGCCTAGGTGGCAAAGGGGCTGGGGTGTTGCCCATCGCTGCAGCCAGCTGCACAGTCTCAGCCGCCTTGCACAGCAGAATTTGGAACCACTTCAGAATGCAAAAGGTAACTGTTGTCTACTCTCTTGTTTGTTTGTTTGTTGTTTTTCTTTAAAACAGGGTTTCTCTGCATAGTCCTAGGTATCCTGGAACTCACTCTGAAGAACTCAGAGATCTTCCTGCCTCTACCTCCCAAGTGCTGGGGAAAAAGGTGTGTGCTATCACTGCCCGACTGTCCACTCTCTTTCAGAAAATCTGTGGTAAACATCTGTAAATTGTAGCACAAAACTAAGACTTTATCAGAGTTAGATGTTTAAATCTGTGGATGGTAGTAGCACATGCCTTTAATTCCAGCACTCAGGAGGCAGAGGCAGGCAGGGTTACACAGAGAAACCCTATCAAAGAAAAAAGTAAAATAAAATAAATGCTTAAATCTGTTCCTTTGAATAAAGGAGAAACATAAAATAGGCTTCTAGGATATACTAGATTTAATCCTGATTTAACTAGATTTAACGCTGGACTTGAGTGATTGATTGCACCGTGTTATAAGGACAAGTCCTCTGGGCCATTACCACAGTTTGTTTTCTCGCAGGATGCACCATCGTGTTCACAGACCGCTCGGGCATGAGTGCACTGGGCCACGTGATGCTGGGAACCATGGATGTCCACCATCACTGGACGAGAGTAAGGATGAGCCAAAGCAAGCAGCCTCTCTGCCTCACACACACTTTCATTTCAGACGAGAGCATTGCGTCAGCAATCGCAGCACTGGGAAGCTTAGCTCTAGATATCAGTCCAGTAACACCACATAGCTAGGACTTCAGTGTGAAGATAGCTTTCTTTTGCACGTATTTATCTTGTGGGTATTTCTGCATGCATGCACACAGAAGCCAGAGGATGAACGGTCCAGGGATTGCATCCAGACCATCAACTTGAGCAGGCCTTGGCTCAGCATTCGTCTCACAAGCCCACGCATTAGTTTAAACTCAAATAACGCTGAGGTGAACATGTTTTATTGCTAAATTTTATTCTTAGATTTATTTATTTTGTATGTAAGTGTTTTGTCTGCATATATGTATGTCTATGAACCATGTGTGTGCCCAGTTCCCGAGGAGGTCAGAATAGGTCATAGGATCCCCTGAAGCTGGGCTTACAGATAGTTGTGAGCACCATGTAAGTGCTGGGAGTCAAACCCAGCTCCTTTGCAAGAGCAAGCGCTCTTAACCACTAAGCTGTCTCTCCAGCCCCTGATATGAACATTTTTATTTAGTTGGTTTGGTTATTTTGTTTTGGGGGCTTTGGGAGTGTTTGTTTGTTTGTTTGTTTGTTTGTAAGAGTCTCATGTAGCCCTGGTTGAACTAGAACTTACAATATAAATCAAACCAGACTGAAACTTGTAGCAATCCTCCTGCCTCAGCCTCCAGTGTCTTAGGATTACAGGTGTACACCTCTGTGCCTGGTTGATACAAACATGGGAAGTGCATTTTTCACCTCATGGATAAATTCCTAGATAGAATTGCTGGATCATATCCTTTGATCATACCAAGTAGGTATGTGGTGGTGTCTTACCTAAGTTTAGTTTGCATTAAATAATACATGATGGTGATCACCTTTTCATGTTTTTATTTGCCATCTTCATGCCATCTTTAGTGAAGGATTTATTCTAATAAAATACTTGATAGAGGGACTGGAGAGATTGCTCAATGCTTAAGAGCACTGACTGCTCTTCCAGAGGATCCAAGTTTGAGTCCCAGCCCCATCATGGCAGCTCACAGCCATCTGTAGCTGCCGTCCCAGGGGATCCAATGGTGCCGGACACTAATGTGGTATAGAGATACACATGTAGACAAAACACACAAACACGTGTAATAGATCTTTAGCCAGGCTTAGTGGCACACACCTTTGATCCTAGCACTAAGCTAACCTGGTCTATAGAGTAAGTTCCAGGACAACCAGGGTTACACAATGAAACCCTGGCTTTAAAAACCCTAATTATTGTTGTTGTTGTTGTTATTATTATTATTATTATTTCAAGCCATATATTTAATAGGTATTTTGTATCTAAAGAATATAAGAACTCTTAACACTCAGCAGTTAAAAAATAAATACCAAACCAAGTAGAAAATGTGCCACAGACATGAAGAGAGTCTCCAGATGACAGAGCTCAGAGCTGGGACGGGGCAGAGAGCTGGAGAGCTTGCAGCCTGTAAGATGCTGGGTTCCAGCCCCACGCTGGGCAGAGCTGCTGAGTGAACAGAGTGGCAGACCACGTGATGCCGAGGACATGGAGACCTGGCTCGCTTCTGCCAAGGACCCAGATGTGCAGAGCTCCACACGTAGAAATCTATACACAGATACTCATAATAGCCAGGAGTGGAGGAAGTCCTAATGTACGTCAGTGTAAGTCCTGTTCAGAAATGGGCAGGAACCTCTGATGTGTGCAGCGGCTTAGGTAGGAAGGTCAGTATCTGTACAGCTCCCATGTCTGTACCATTCTTGAAGTCACAAGGTAACAGGAAGGAGGCAGAGCAGGGCTGTGGCTGCCTAGACATGGGGATCAGCAATCTGACCACTCAAAGGGCATGTGGCAGATTCTGGGGGAGCTCTATTCTGTGCAGAGTAGTGATTTCACATGGTCTGCACATGTGAAAAGGCAACATACAACAAAACGCGCAAGGATTGCTAGAGTCCAGATGGAATTAACAGCTGCTGTGTAACTGTACCGTGTCTGCACTGTCAAAGTCTCACATGTACAGAACCCAGAACACGCTATATGAACCCAGTGCAGCGTGTCTGTGCTGTCTCCATTGTCTCATGCTTACAGAACCCAGCACACACCGTATGAACCTACTGCATTGTGTCTGTGCTGACTCCATAGTCTCATGCTTACAGAACCCAGAACACGCTATATGAACCCAGTGCAGCGTGTCTGCGCTGTCTCCATAGCCTCATGCTTACAGATCCCAGCACACACAGTATGAACCCAGTGCAGCGTGTCTGCGCTGTCCCCATAGTCTCACCCTTACAGAACCCATACAGCACACGCTATATGAACCCTCAGTTCTCAAAGCTCCTGAATGTGCTTACACTGCATATGCAACCCAAGAAGAGGAGAGTCAAGGAGTAGAATTATTTTTTACAAAATGTAGTAAGTAGATGATAGATGACTTATAAAAACTAGTTATTATCTTCTTTATAGGCTACCTGATGTCTTCTAGTCCTCTCTCTCTCTCTCTCTCTCTCTCTCTCTCTCTCTCTGTCTTTTTCTGTGTAGCCCTGGCTGTCCTGGAACTCGCACTATAGTCCAGACTGGCCTTGAACTCACAGAGAACCCCCTGCCTCTGACTCCTAAGTTCTAGGGTTAAAGGTGTGCACTATCATAGCCTGGCTAAAGCCTTCTAGTCATATTAACATGTGCAAATCCCAGATTTCTACAGAAAGCCAAAGTCCTTAAAGTCCTCCCTGACCCCAGCCCCTCCTACTCACCAGCACACGCCATGCACCAGCCCCTCCCACTCACCAACACAGGTACATGTGCCAGACCCTCCCACTCACCAACACAGGTACATGTGCCAGACCCTCCCACTCACCAACACACGCCATGCACCAGCCCCTCCTGCTCACCAACACAGGTACATGTGCCAGACCCTCCCACTCACCAACACACGCCATGCACCAGCCCCTCCCACTCACCAACACACGCCATGCACCAGCCCCTCCCACTCACCAACACACGCCATGCACCAGACCCTCCCACTCACCAACACACGCCATGCACCAGCCCTTCCCACTCACCAACACACGCCATGCACCAGCCCCTCCCACTCACCAACACAGGTACATGTGCCAGACCCTCCCACTCACCAACACACGCCATGCACCAGCCCCTCCCACTCACCAACACAGGTACATGTGCCAGACCCTCCCACTCACCAACACAGGTACATGTGCCAGACCCTCCCACTCACCAACACACGCCATGCACCAGCCCTTCCCACTCACCAACACACGCCATGCACCAGCCCTTCCCACTCACCAACACACGCCATGCACCAGCCCCTCCCACTCACCAACACACGCCATGCACCAGCCCCTCCCGCTCACCAACACACGCCATGCACCAGCCCCTCCCGCTCACCAGGACACACGCCATGCACCAGCCCCTCCCGCTCACCAGGACACACCATGCACCAGCCCCTCCCGCTCACCAGGACACACCATGCACCAGCCCCTCCCACTCAACAGCACCAGCCACACACAGCTTCCTGTTGCTTTCCTTTTCCCCCCAAAGCATTCCATTCATCTACTGTTTCTAAATCCTTATATACTTTGTCAGATCAGAAGTCTTGGCGGCCATTGTCTAAACCTCACTTTGACCTGTCAACCCCATGTGACACTTGAGGTGACACACTCTTGCTTTATGTTCTTGCCCCTCGACTGTGAGCTCTAGTAAACAGACAAACCCTTACACCTGCGTGTGCACTCACTGCTTACACACACAGTAAGTGCTCCCTAACGCGTTCTGTGTTTGTCAGCTGAACTTGAAATTCAGTGACTGAAAGTAAACTTTTAGGGAATACCTGAAATCAGATTGGTGACAGCCTAGTTGTCATCACAGAGCCTTCAGATCCACAGCCGAGCACAGGGCCAAGCTCCCAGAGTCCAACTGAGGAAAGGGAGGAGGGATTTTTTTTCTTTTTCTTTTTTTTTTTTTTTTGAGCAAGGGGTGAGAGTCAAGTTTATGAAAGGGAAACCCACAGAGACAGGTGACCCAAGCTGTGGGAGCTCATGGACTCTAGACTGACCTAGGCCCTCTGCATCCCAGGTGACAGTTATGTAGCTTGGTTTCTTATGGGGCCCCTAGCAGTGGGACCAGGCCCTGACCCTGACACATGAGCTGGCTCTTTGGAAGCTATTCCCTATGGTGGGATACCTTGCCCAGGCTTGATGCAAGGGGCGGGGGGAGCTTGGTCCTGCCTCAACTTGGTATGCCATACTTTGTTGACTTCCAAGGGAGGCCTTTACCCCTTGTGAATGGAGATGGATGGGGGGCAAGGTAGAACAGAGGTAGGGGGTAGGGGATGGGAGGAGAAGAGGGAGAAGAAACTGTGGTTGGTATGTGAAATAAATAGATTTTTAAAAGTTTTTAGGGAGGGCTGGAGAAATGGCTCAGAGGTTAAGAGCATTGCCTGTTCTTCCAAAGGTGCTGAGTTCAATTCCCAGCAACCACATGGTGGCTCACAACCATCTGTAATGGGGTCTGGTGCCCTCTTCTGGTGTGCAGGCATATACACAGACAGAATATTGTATACATAAGAAATAAATAAAATAAATATTTAAAAAAAGCTTTTAGGGAATACTTAAGAGTTGGGATGGGCAAATGCGCATTGAATCATTGTAACCTAGCTTAAGAGTCCCGTGTGAGTCTAAATATTAGTACCCAGGGTTGAATTTTACTTGGGTTTTTTCTTTTTCTGAAATCTCTTCTCAGTTCAGTCTAAAACCACTAGACTGGTAGTTTGTTTTGAATATTAATATTTACAGGATTGTAGTATCCTTTTTATTGTATTTTACTTAACTATTCCATCTACAAAAATAATTTTTATAACTTCCTCATTTATTGGACTCCTAAAATTATAGCAACATAAAATTAAATGTCTTTTTTTTCCCCAATACTATAGCTTTTTGAAAGCTTGCCAAGTTATTTTGACCTTCAGAGGAGAATGTCAGCCCTAGAAGACCAGATAAGCAATCTTCTAGGGGGCGTACAAGTGGTTTATATCGAAGAGTTACAGCCAGCACTGACCCTTGACGAGTACTACTGCCTCCTTGACGTGTTCCACAATCAGCTCCTAAAAAGCAGGGCACCTGCCCACCCGCAAAGCCTGAGCGGCTTGGAGATGATCCTCAGTGGGTAAACATCCGGAACCGGGTGGGGTGTGTGCGTGTCAGAACAGGGTCGTAAGTGCGATGTTTTACTCTTTTCGCTTTGGGGGCTCACACACAGACGCTTATTTTACTTATGAATGCCCGGCCTTACCTTGGCTTGTTTCTAGCCAGCTTTCCTTAACTTATCCCATCCACCTTCTTCCTCTGTGCTTTTTTCTTTTCTTACTTCTATTTATCTTATTTTCCTTCTTACTCTGTGACTGGCTGACTCCTTGCCTTGTCCCTCCTTCTCTTCCCCATTTCTCCTTCTATTTATCCTCTCGGCCTGCCAGCCCCACCTAACCTTTCTCCTGCCTTGCTATTGGCTGTTCAGCTCTTTATTAGACCATCAGGTGTTCTAGACAGGCAAAGAATCACAGCTTCACAGAGTTAAACAAATGTAGCATAAACAAAAGTCACACACCTGAAAATAATATTCCCCAACAGTGCATTGAGCTGTTTTTTGTTTCATTTGGTTCTTGTAAAGTTAATAAAATAATAATAGTGGTGGAAATGAGTGGCTGGAGAAATGGTTTAGGAGTTAAAAGCAGATACTCCTTTGGCAAAAGATTCAAGTTCAGTTCCCAGGGCCCATGTCAGGTAGCTTACAGCCTTTGACCTCCTCAGACACTGCATTCACGTGCAGAGACAGACACAGAGACGTGTGTGTGTGTGTGTGTGTGTGTGTGTGTACATATATACACATTCACACACATAATTTCCAAAATGGAGGCCAGGCATGTGGTACACACCTTTAATCCCAGTACTTAAAGCAGAAGCAGGAGAATCACTGTAAATTCAAGGCCAGCCTTAGCTAAACAATGCAACCCTGTCTCAAACACAAAACAAAAAAAAAAGTCACTACTTGTGAAAAGAATTGTATTCATAGCCCTGTTCTCCATAAGTCCAAGACCAGACCGAGGGACTGAGAGTGGATTCTGAAAACATCACCACTGATCAGCAAAGTAAATCACTCAGTCATGATGTAGAATCAGCAGCTAAAGTGTGTGTGTGTGTGTGTCTGTGTGTGTATGCATGCATTACCTGCACTTTGCTTTGTGCTTAAATGCAGTCCTCCTTGAGGAGGGTCGTGCCATGTCAGGACCAGCACGTCGTCATCGGTGTTGCTGTGATTTAATGTGGTCGTCCCCATGACAGTTCTCAGTCACTTGATAAAGAAAGCATTGGTGTGGAAATGGTGATGTGTCCCTTACTACACACTTCATTTCAGCGACAGGTACGAGCCAAGCTTGCATGAACTCGGGCATTTTAACATCCCAGCCCTCTCAGATCCGGCAAGCCTCCAGTCATTTATGAGAAGCCGAGCCCAGCAGGCAAGAGAAAACATAGCAAGAAGGGAGGAGTAAGTACTGTCCGCTTTGGGAGGTGTGAGGCCTGACTTGTAAACAGACGGCAGGAAGCGTCGCCTGCATTTTAGCTATTGTATTCACGTGTAGCTGTTGTGTCTGTTGGCACAGACCAGATCAGCAGGGCCCCTGAAGATGGAGTTGTGGGCAGTTGTGAGCCACCACATCTCGCATCTCTGTGAGAATCACAAGCGCCCGTAACTGCTGAGTCATCTCTCCAGCCCTACTATATTTAAATTTTAAAGTGTATCTCATTCACAAGTAGTCCTGTTTCTGTATTGTTATAACTCGGAGTCACTTAACAGCCTGTGGTTTCCTCGTCGCAGGTTTGAAGCTGTAGAGTTGAGTCTGTTGTAGAGGAGAGAGGGTAGGAGTGGGTCCATACAAAGGAATGGACAGACAGATGGACACCAGGTCCAGATAGTGAGCAGGGAGGGAGAAGCAGCTCAGAGCAGGGCACGGCCTGATGGCAGCATCCAAATCAGGGTTTATTCTCCCAGTTTTCCCTTCATTTCGTCACCAGCGTGGCTAGGGGAGGTGTGTGAAAGCTTCTTAAACCACACTCCATTGGGCTGGAAAGATGACTCAGCTGTTGAGATCACTGGCTGCTCTTGCAGAGGACCCAGGTTCAATTCCCAGCACCCACATGGTGCCTTACAACCATTTGTAACCCCAGTTCCAGGAGTCCAACACCCTATTCTGGTTTCCAAGGGCACCAAGCACAGACACCCGTGCAGACAAAACACCATACGCAGTAAAAACAATAAATCTTTGAAAATTAGGAATAAATTGTGTATTGTCTTTACCTCACTGATGCTAAAAAGATTGATTAAATACCTTTAGAGATTTATGTAGAAATAAATCAGCCAGTACTGGGCACAGGGTACTCTTGGCATGTCTTCACATGACTGCCTTGCATGGCACTATTTGTCACCCCAACATTTAAGAACATCTTTATATGTTATCTATATTTATATTTTATCTTTAGTATTATCTCATGACAATTTTTTATTTAATAGGTTAAAAGTTATTGAAAATGAACTGATACAGGCTTCCACAAAGAAATTTTCTCTGGAGAAGTTCTACAAAGAGCCCAGCATTTCCAGCAGACAGATGGTGGACTGCTGCCGGAGACTCCTGCAGCTGTCACTGCCTTATCTGCACGGGATGCACCTCTGCGTGTCGCATTTTTATTCCGTCATGCAGGATGGAGACCTGTGCATCCCGTGGAACTGGAAGAAAGGAGAAGCCAGGAAGTGACACAGACACCTGTCTTATTTTCTGGAGAAATGAGAAACTGTTGGGTTTATTTAAATTCAGTTCAATGTTAGTATTCGCATCAGGACAGAGTTTCCGAGTGCTGCATTAAAGCGGGAGTTTTCTTTGTAGTGACTTTATGCTAAGAAACTTGTTTCTAAACGGTTTGTCCCATAGTCTTGTGATGCTGATGGCTAGGCAGAGAGATGCTTAGAAGAAAAACTTATTTTAAAGAGAGTTCTGTAAGAGTCATCTATTTTTATAGAAGTGAGTGTGTGTGTGCATAAATTGGTCTCGTTCAGTATAGCTCTGTGGTACTAGGACTCATTTTTACATGCAGCGCAGTTCAACACATGTCTTCGTCGTTACATCCCACAGACACAAACACTTGGTAGCCGGTAGTGGACAGTCGTGTTCAGACAGATGATTGATGAGTAGCAAAAATTAAATAACCACATTTTGATTGAGAAAGATTTTTTTAAACTATTGAATATATGCCATTAACATTGCCTGATACTAGCTTATTAAAACATCAGCGACAGAATTTAAATACATGACACCTTCTACCAATTAAAATATTGATAGAGCATGTTCTTGGTAGGCACAGGCCCTGGGTTCCATCCCAAGTACCAAGAAAAAGCTGTCTTCATCTCTTCAGCTCTGGCCCAGGTAAAAGCCTGCTGCCTGCTGTGGTCTCCGGTGTCCCCCACGCTGTGGAGACCCGTTCTCTACTCAGAGAAGACCACCCTGCATTCCACACCACACTTTTCCCTGAGGATGCCCTAGGGAACTGACCCCGGTGCATAGAACAAAGGAGACACTAAAGTCAGTTTTTCGTGTTTTGGATTTTTATAAACAGTTCAAATGTATGTTCAAAATAAGAACTGACTTTTAAAGCATTGGTTGCCACTATTGCTTTTGACCCATGCCAGTTTGACAAATGTTGCTGTAAATGCTCTCCCTAAGAAAGAGTCCTCAAGTTGGGTTTGGTGGTGCACGCCTTTAATCCCAGCACTTTCGGGAGGCAGAGGCAGGTGGATCTCTGTGAGTTCAAGGCCAGCCTGGTCTACAAAGTAACTTCCAGGGCAACCAGAGCTGTTACACAGAGAAGCCCTGTCGCGGGTGGGGGAGTCCTCAAAGATCTGCTAGTTTATTGGAAAATTGTTTGGATTGTGCCACTTCTAACATCAGCTAACACAGACTCTTTGGTAATGTGTGTTGAATTGGATTTGGTTTTGAACTAATTATTACATAATAAACAGTACCTTGTCGGCCACATAGCTGTTCCCCTTGTTTTCATAACGAGGGGTTATTGGAAGAGTGACCCTGTGGACTTCATCTCCCCCACCACAGAGAACAGGTCCCCCACGAGATCTGAGCTCTTATCACAGCCGAGCTTGCCCCCACAAGGAGAGCTGTGGCAAGCCCTCAACTCCAGGGCTGCCAAAGCCCCTCTCTTTCTCCTTTTGTTCCAGAAAAGGAACCCCTAAGGAGCCTCTGAGTTAGTGAGAGAGATGAAGGCTTTGAGAAGCGGGCACGTGAAATGAAGGAGCCAGAGGTTCTTGCAGTATAGACCCGGCGGTGGTGGGCGTGGTCCGTAGCGGGACCTGGAAGCCCACTGCAGGAAGGAGGACGGCCTGTGCTTCCCAGCGCCATGTTGTTTGGGTCAGTGTGGGGTGCGCAGCCCTGGCCTGCCTGGCAGTCAGCTTCCGTAGGCTCCCTCCACACTGACAATCAATGCCCATCTGCAGGACCCTGCTTGCCCACAGCCTGGCAGGGTCTGGTCTCATCTATGCCACCCGCACCCTGATGGTTGCTCCTTGCCTACCTAGTAACTAGGCTGACTGAAGCTTCTCTGCCATCCAGCTTTGTCTGGTGGTACAAACACCACCACCCCTTTTTGGTGTTGTGCTGGACATTGAGCTTAGGACCTTGTGCCTGTTAGAGCAAGTGTTCTACTGAGCTACACCTCCAGCCGAAACACCCTTTTACTTAGTGTATGTGAAAGTGCGCATGCGCGCACACAACCGTGTGTATGTCCAAGTCAGAGGACACCTTTTAAGAGCTGATGCGCTCCTACCATGTTTACCCTGGGGATCCAACTCAAGTGCAGACATGGTAGCAAGGTGCCTTCCCTGCAGAGCTCTCTCCCTAGCCCTGGGAATCTCCCATAGCTATCAAGAGGGAGTTACGTGTTTCTGTTGTGAGGACAAGCGAGTCTCTCAAGTAGTCAGCGTAACAGTGTTGTTTCTCTTGAGTCTGGCCTTTTATGTAAACCATTATGGGCACTAGGGGCTCCAAATGGTTGCAGCTCAAGTATTAAAGGGTGGGAATTCTGCTTATATTTTTGGCCTTTTGCCTCTACGTAAACTACTTGTTTCCTTTGGAGAAGCGCTGCCGTCCTGTGTTGGTGCCTTGAGAAACACAGATGCATCCAATCAGGACTCAAGAAAACAGGTCGCTCATCTCCCGCAAGCCGTGATGTTTTCACAGGCCACTATGCAGACTTGAGCGTGTCCCCAGTGTCCTTGTTAGTCAGGAGAGAGACTAGGAAGATGTTTTCCTGGCTTTATAAAGGTTATATTTGCAGTCAGCTGAAGCCATCCTGGGCCAGTGGGGATGAGCGATCCTGTGTCAAGTTGCTGGGCTTGCTGCCGGTAATTTAGCTGGGATCCTTTTGCTTTCCTAGGGCTGCTCTTTGGCAGGCTTTGTAACCCTCAGCTGCTAGCAGCAAGCAGTGACAGCAGGCATCTATCTGGAAGCAGCAGGTAACAAGAACCAGGCCAGACTCCAGTCCTCACAACTTTTCTCCTTGTTCAGGATCTTCATCGCAAGAGGTGCAGGAAGGTTTGTTCAAGAGAAGCAGGCTGAGGCTGCAGAGACAGTGGTTAAGAGCACTGGCTGCTCTTCAGAGAGCCAGAATTTGATCTCCAACACCTACATGGCTGTTTAGCTCTAAGTACGGTTCCACTCTCTTCTTGTCCTTGTGAGACACACACACACCACCCACGCACATTAAATTAGAACGTTTGTAAAAGCTGGAAGTCTCAGCACTTGGGAGGCAGAGGCTCCACAGGGAGTATGGTGAGAGAGACTGAGGTGACAGCTGGTACCCTACTCTAGCTGCTGACCCGGGAGCTCCATGTTTCCTTCTCTGGTCCCCTGCCTGCTCAGACTGCTTGTCCCTTCAGATTCCCATAACATCTCAGCCTTGTTCCTATTGTTACTTTTGCAGCCTGTGACCGTGACAGCTGACAGACACAATATAAAGAGGGACAGAGTTATGTTTGGCCTGTGATTTCACAGGGTTTCTGTCCACGGTGGCTGGGGCATCAGGACAAACCAGGAAGCAAAGACAGAATCAGAAGCAGGATGGATCTTTTGCCTCTAGTGAGCTACTGCCTCTAGTTAGATCCCACCCACTAAAGATTTCGCGCCATGTGGGGGGCGTTCCAGATTCAAACCATCTACAGCATCCACCAGCACCCCATCCCCACCGCCGAACCCTCCCCGCTCAGGATGGCTGCCATCCAGCCCCTCTGTGGCTCTCCAGAAGCAGAAGGGCGTTCAGCCTTAACCTCTGTCCGGCTCTGCCTGGGTCCTCCACTCACGGTCTTTCCACATCACACCACACTTGACTGAAGCTGTTCCCCCTGAGTGTACAGGACCCACACAACACCTTTGGCCCCACTTGGGCCCTCATGAAGCCTGGAACAAACTCTGGGCCGCTTTTCAAGGAACTCTGACATGGGGACCTGCCCTAGGCTCGAGCCGGCAAGACAGTAGGGACACCATAGGCACAGGCGTGAAGTTTGTTAGGTGCTGACCCGAAAACAGGCTTTTCCATTCCAAGTGCTGCCCATAAAAGTGGGTGTAGCCTGGTTGTGACCGGTCAGTGGGTCCCACTCAAAGCCTACTTCTGCCCCACAGACGACTCCACCACCAGAATGGCGGTATTCACCCGCAAAGTGTCAAGACAGCAGAGGAAGTAATGCGAGTCATAGGAGGCAGTCTGTAAAAGTCTCAGAAAAGTTTGTATTGGGTCTCAAGGAGTTTTTTGCTGGTTCCAGTTAAACCTGTGCTTCTGGGGTGGGTCTGATGGGATCTTCACAGATTGCTGCTCTACGGAAAGGCCCGAGGGGCGCTGCTAGCTCAAAAAGAAAACCGGTTGTTTCCAGTCAGGGCGTTCCTCAGCTTACCGGGCAGAGCCCAGGGCGGAGAAGGGCTGGCTGGAAGCATCACGGTCAGTGAAGGGTATGCTCCCAGGTGGTGCTGCTGCCGCTGCTGCATAGGCAGAGCGCCCCCTGGCGGGTACAACATGCGGGGACGGGACGGGGCAGAGCTGGGTAGAAAGAAGTTTCCTGCCCAGGGGTGGTCAGCCTCGGGGGTCGCTGGGGAGGCTGGTCTGTGTGCAGCCACGGGCGCGGGGGGCGTGCCCCCAGGCGGAGACCCCGACATCACCCGATGCTTCTCTCCAGAGGCTGCAAGTGTGGTCTCCTCCCCTGGAGGGAGCGTGACTTCGCCAGTGATTTCATTTACCCAGACAAAAGAATCTAGTGGTTTCTTCTCCTGTTCAAGCTGATTCCTAGACATATCTAAAACGGAGAAAGAGGGGTCAGGAGGCGCAGGTGAAAGCTGCTCTTAATTTTTAAAAAGTCCTTTCCAGTTTTTTGTCCTGAAGACAGGCCTCGCTATGTATCCTCGGCTGTCCTGGAGCACTGTGTAGGCCAGACTGTAGGTTCCAACTCTCAGATCTGACTGTCTCTTCGGGGATTAAGGGTCATTTTCTTGACTAATGATTGATGGAGAAGGATTCTGGGGTGTAAAAGAAAACAAACTGAGCAAGCCAGGGAGCAAAGATCCTGCGTGGCCTCTGCTTCAGTTCACTACTTCGAGTCTCCACCTTGAGTTTCCGCACTGACTTCCCTCAGCGATAGAGTGTGAGCCGAGAGTTACTTACGAACTGAAATCAATCCTTTCCTCCCCAAACTGCTTTCGGTCATGGTGTTTACCACACAGCAACAGAAACCTAAGACGTATGGATGTACTGAAGACGGACTTTTTCCTGTTGTTACTCCCTGAGCAATTCAGTAGAGCAACTGCTCCACGGCATTTACGTGACATTATGGTTTAGAAAAGGTTTTAAGTTTGGGAGAAGATGGGAATACATTGCATGTATAAATACTATCCCGATTTATATTAGCGATTTGAGACTGCGTGTCTGCTGGGCATCCTGGTGCCAATCTCAAGAATAAGGAAGGGCAACTGGATACTAACTGTGATGATTTCAGTCACAATAAGGCTGATACGTCCGGGTTCTAGGGGCCATGCATGTGCAGACAAGCCCCCAGGCAGAAGTGTCTAATGGCTCTTGGAGATGTTAAAGGGGCCCGCCTCACCCACGTGTGGCGTGGATTACATCATCTACGTATGACTCAGCTGAGTCCTTGCGCGCCTGTGTGAGCCCTGTCATCTGCGTATGACGTAGCCTCATCAACCCCGTGTCTATGCACTAGGCAGCTTTTAAAAAATGGAAGCGCCATCTTCCTCTCCATCCACGCCCCTGCACTCTGACTTCCCCAGGCCTGTACACGCCCCCTCTAATAAACTCCTAAGCGGGTTTGTTGCGTGTTCTGTGTTTCCTTCTCACTTACACCAGGTAATTTCACTAAGCATATTTTATCTGTTTTCCTGACCCAGTTCAGATATCTATGTAGTATGCTAACAATCTTAGTGGAAGGTAAATGTTTAAATTTCTGATATTTTCTACACAATTCTATTGTATTGTTTGAACAGGCTGGTCACCATTCCTTAAGTTCATTTGGAAGAAAAGCAACGATGATTAAATGGCTATAACTTGGAACAGTTTGGCATGAAAAATAAGGAGAGAAAACAAAGACAGAGTAGCATGGGGTAACTCGACATTTATAATCCAAGAATTCTAAGAGCTGAGGCTGGAGTTGAGGCCAGCCTGAACTACATAGTGAGTTCAGGGGTACCCCAGTAAGACACCACCAGCAGCTACCACCACCAGTCAAATTGCTTTTGCTAAGTTTTCTAAGACATGATCATGTCTGATCAGCAAAATGGTACATCAGAATTGGCCATGCACTTGGAACCTGTGCCTGTGTTCCTTACATGGCAGCCGGCCTTCCAAGCACAATTTTATTTTGGACCTTACAAAGTGTAGATTTCTGTGCAGTATCTAGGTGACTCAGTCTCAACATCTGAGTCCTAAAAAAGCGGTTTTGCTCCAATTCAGAGATGCAGAAGCAGGTGTGAGGAAGACTGGGGACTGGGCAAGGCAATGGCCCCTCCATTCGCTGAGGCCAGTTTAGGTTTTAAATAGAATTTTATCTCCTTGATGGAAAGTCCTGTGGAAAATTACCCAACTCTATTTTAGGAACCTGAGGTCAAGATGCCTCTCTAATTTGTCTTGTCTTCTGTTAAACTGCCTGTGTGTGCAGAAATGCCCCCAGCTAACTGCTTATCTTTGTTAAACTGCTTGCTTGTGCAAAACTTGCCCCTGCAGCTGCCAAGCAAAATAACAGAATGTGGTTTTCATATTTAAAAACCCCTTGCTCTAAACACTAGAGCTACCCTTGGGTCCCAGGTACCTGAGTATAGTTCCAGCCAGCAGGAATCTAAACCTTCAATTGGCTATTAACTGAATGGTCATGTCTGCTGGGTTCCCCATTATAGTCTATAAGCAAGAGGATTTGACTGGCTGTTGCTAACTTGAACCTGGAAGGGGCTAAATAGAAACCTCGAGAAGGAGACAGGGATGGATAAAGTGAGGGAGGGCCAGGTGGAGGCAGGAGGATCCGGAGTTCAAGACCCATAGTAACAATAAATAAATCAGCAACTGTTACAGTAGCTGCAGGAAGCTCAGGACGGATGAGAATGGTGCCCCAGGGCAGGTGCTAGGCGAGGAGACTCTTTGCGGAGAGCTTACAATGTTTTGCTTTTTTTAGAATGGTCTTTAGGAACTTCACCATGTTCTGCTCCGTGTGTTACCCAGGCCAACCAGCAGCATTCTGACTCTGGATTCGTTGTGAGGCTCTGCTTGCACAGGCCAAGGAGCCCTGCCGTCTGCCCCACCCTACCCCCCCCAGGCCCATAGGACTGACCTACAAGAAGTCCGGGTTTGAAGCTCACCTGCTTGAAGGTTATGGGGTGGCCGAGTCTGCGCAGGTAGCTTCTTGACAGAGTGGGGATAATATCAGAAGCTGGGTGTCCTAGCAACTGGTCTTTGTTATGTAACGCATTCCATCCCGGCCAGGCCTGATTCCTCCTAGGGAACACATGCTGCTGCTCTCAGGTCTCTGTTACTGTGCCAGGTGTTCCCCATCCCCGGAGGTGATCCTGACATTGTCTTTGCTTTCTGGCAGTCCAACACATGGCTTCTCTTCCAGAACATAAACGTGTAGCCAAGCAAGAATATAGCAGGTTAGCGTACATTCAGCACAGATCCATGCCCTACTTGCCGCTCACTTGTTCTCATTCACCTACTCCTCCATAGCTTAGGTGCACCTCAAATCCTCGGCAAGCTGCCTCTGACCTGGGGTGGGCCAAATCGGATGTGGGATTTCCCCTCTCTATGCTGTGATTACCATTGGATAATAAATTGTCTTGGGCCTGCACAGGGAATAGAGGTAGGCGGTGAAAACTAAACTGAATGCTGGGAGGAAGAAGGCTGAGTCAGAGAGAAGCCATGGAGCCCTGCCAGAGACTGATGTTGAAACTTTACCGGTAAGCCACTGCCACATGGTGATACACAGATTAATGGAAATGGGTTAAATTAAGATATGAGTTAGCCAAAGGCCGGGCGGTGGTGGCGCACGCCTTTAATCCCAGCACTCGGGAGGCAGAGGCAGGCAGATCTCTGTGAGTTTGAGACCAGCCTGGTCTACAGAGCTAGTTCCAGGACAGGCTCCAAAGCCACAGAGAAACCCTGTCTCGAAAAAAAAAAAAAAGAAGAGTTAGCCAATAAGAAGCTAGAGCTAATGGGCCTAGCAGTGATTTAAATAATACAGTTTCTGTGTGATTATTTCAGGGCTGAGCGGCCAGGAACCAACAAGCAGCCTCCTGCAACACAAAACCTTCAAGTTTAGTGTCTATAATGTGTAAAATGGTGTGAGCTCATTCCACTAGGCCATCCTAGTGGACTGGTCTAGGTCATTCAATAAGATTTCCCCCTCTTACCTGCCTGGTGGTGTTCACTGATGGGGTCCATGAGCACTGCACCTTAAATCACATTACTCTACGCCCCCAGATGTTTCCCACTCAGCAGCCTCCATGGCAACTTTCCCCATGGGCAATGGTGGTCATAAGTATCCCAAGGTCATTCCTAAAATCAGAGGGGAGACCTCTGCCTCTCCTCCCTCCCTGGCTTTACTCATCAGCTTTCATTGGTGTCCAACCGTCCAGCTTCTTTGGTTTCCATTGTGAAAAGTTGTCTTGGGCTACACATTGACATCCTTGTTTGGCAGCACCACACGGAAGTTCCGGAAGTTCCGGCGTTCATCTTACTTAGGAGAGGTTAGGTCTGGGTCCCCATTTCAACCATGACACTAAACTGATAACTACTCTTAGCTTGTTAACAATGAACCCAAAATTTCTTCTTTGATTTCATATACCTTCAGGTACCCAAACAGCTGGATGGGATCCTTTTGTTCTATTTGGGAGTCACAAGTAAGCAAGGAGTAACAGCTCTAATGTTGGGAGTCCTTGGGTTCTGAAGACTTTATGAGATGAGCTCATAGACTTGGAGGTTTAAAACCCCAAGCCTTGGGAATTCAACCTGTCCCTCCAAGCTCTAGTGTTCAGGTTAGAGAGTTACAGCTTTGGGTTCCCATTGCTTGGAGGTCCAGTGTTTGACAGCTAGTGACATCCTCCACTCTAGGCAACAGCTAGTGTTGGGATCCTCTGCCTTCCAAGACCAGCAGCTCCCAGGAACTCCTTTAGTATGCTCTAGTCGTGGCTGTCCTTGTGTGTTTCTGAGAAAGGGCTCTGCACGCTCTTTTATCGAGCACCACAGAAAGCATCACATGGGGAAAGAATGAGAGATACTTTATAGAAATCCTTAACAGATTTTACACGGGATTAAATTTGATGGTCTTCACCTGACCCAGGAACACTAAGAAAATGCAAACATTCACTTATCAAATAATATCTGCATGCTGTCTCCTGCATTTATGGCAGATTATTTATTGTATAAGAGTGCTTTCAACTTATTAGTATTTATTACCATAATACACACAGAAGCATATATGCATTGCTTTCTGGGTCAGAGGCATAGAAGAATACGTAATTTAAAATCAAAGCTATATATTAGCATAAGTTGGAAAAGATGGTTGCCAAGGCAAATAAAGTTGGTTGTTACACTATTAACTGAAAGGCAGGTTAAATATAGCTGGGTAGTGGTAAGTTACGTCTTTAATCCTGGCTCTAGGAAGCAGAGGCAAGTGGATCTCTGAGGACAGCCAGAGCTACACAGAGAAACCCTGTCTTGAAAAACCAAAAATAATTTTAAAAGGCAGTTAAACAGATTTAGGAAAGAAGTTTTTTGTTTTAGTTTTTTTTGTTTGTTTGTTTACTTTTGTTTTGAGACTGAGTTTCTCTGGGTAGTCCTGGCTGTCCTGGAACTCTCTTTGTAGACCAGGCTGGCCTCAAACTCACAGAGATCCACCTGCCTTTGCCTCCCCAGTGCTGGGATCAAAGGTGTGTGCCACCACCACCACCTGGCTTAGGAAGGCAGTTTTAAGTGACCTTAGGGTATACTATTAATTTGATTATAAGATTCAGCAGAAGTCCCAGTCTCTTAGAATGTAATGTTATTTTCACAGTGTATCACCACTGTGATACACTAGACCCAGCACAACAGTACCATTGAGCAGCAACACAGAGGAATACCTCCCAGCTGAATAGTCTTGACTGTACAGGGGGAGGGGATTTGGGCGTGGAAAGCAAATAAAGGATTGTACATGTACCAATCACATCAGAACTCTTGCTAAATTGCTGTGATTTCCCCTCATTTCGAGAATAGCTTTGAGGCCATTTAAATTTCTAGTCTGAGAAGCTGCCATCTTCTCAGAGCCCATCACAGACTAACACTGCAAACAGCACTTTTTTTAATGTGTGTTTAATAAGTTTTTAATGTGTGCTGGGCGGTGGTGGTGCACGCCTTTAATCCCAGCACTCCGGAGGCAGAGGCAGGTGGATCTCTGTGAGTTCGAGGCCAGCCTGGTCTACAAGAGCTAGTTCCAGGACAGGAACCAAAAAGCTACGGAGAAACCCTGTCTCGAAAAAATAAAAAATAAAAAAGTTTTTAATGTGTAACAGAGCCCGAGTTCTGCCCAGTGCTGACAGAAGTTGGCTCCCTCCAGTCTTATTTCGGCCATGTTTCCACATCCTTAAATCCATCCTAAATGCTCCCTGAATTTCTGCCAGTGAAGACGCAGCCTTGGGAGTGCTGTACCTCTTCAGTCACTCTGTGGCCCACTGAGATGTATATGCATATGCACAGGAGCGAGCACAGGTGCCCACAGAGGCTGAAGGAGGCATTGGATAACTCTGCAGTTAGTTTGCAGGAGCTGACTACCTGAGTTGGGTGCTAGCATCCTAATTCAAGGCATCTCCAAGCAAGTACTTGTAACTGCTGATCTATCTTTCCAGTCCCCTGGATGTTGGTTTAAAAGAAAAAAAAAACAGGTGGACACTGATATTTTTTTGTATCTGTGGAGGTTTCCTTTGTTTCCGAGTATGTGGTCAATTTTCGAGAAGGTTCCATGAACTGCAGAGAAGGTATATTCTTTCCTATTTGGGTGGAGTGATCTATAGATGTCTGTTAAGTCCAATCGCTTCATTACCTCCAATAATTCTCTTAATTCTCTATTAGGTTTCTGTCTGATTGACCTGTCCATTGTAGAGAGAGGTGTATTGAAGTCTCCTACTACTAGTGTGTGTGGTTTGATGTCTGCCTTGACTTCTAGTAATATTTCTTTTACATAAGTGGGTGCTTTTATATTAGGGGCGTAGATATTCAGGATTGAGACATCATCCTGATGAATTGTTCCTGTTATGAGTATAAAGTGACCATCTCAATCTCTTCTGATTGATTTGTTTGAAGTCAGTTTTGTTAGAAATTAATATGGCCACACCTGCTTTTTTCTTAGGACCATTTGCTTGAAAGACCTTTTCCCAACCCTTTACTCTGAGTAGATGCCCTGTGTATCACGTGTTCTTCAGGCAAAAGGGGACTAGCATTTGCAGTTCAATCTTGTAATGATCTGTCCTGTCCCTTTAAGAGACAAACCACGCCCACCCTCCCCACTTCCCCCCCATCTCCTGAGGCAAGCTGATCTTCAAGCTTTCAGCCAGAGTCCCTTCCTTCTCTCTCTGAGGCAGCTTCTCTCCCTTCTCCCCTCCCCCATTTCTCTCTCTCTCTCTCTCTGCTCTTCTCCCTCCATCATCCAACCTCACTCTACATGGTGTGCCTATCCATCTGTCTCTCACCCACCACGTGGCTCGGGACCAGCTGTTTTCCGGGACCTGCAGCGTGGTCTCGTGGGGTGCCCATTGGTCTCTCTCTCCTCATGGGACCCTCTGGGGCTCGCTGCTCCTCGTGGCCCACTGCAGCCACTTGGGGAACTTTGCAGTCCCTGCCTGGGACTGGCTGCTCTTGGGTCCTGCAGTCCACTGCCCACCACTACTTCAGGGAGCTGCAGCATGGTCTGGGGACCTGCAGTGTGGTTCCACCGCCCACTGCCTGCCGCCACTTTGGGTATGGTCTCGGGACCGGCTGCAGTCACTTGCGGATCCGCATCTTTTACCCTAACAAACCTCACTGCGAATCGTTATCTAATTCCCCAAGAAAACCCGCCTCACACTCACACCCCTCCACAAAACTGAGACTTTCTGAAAAAAAGTTGGGCAGACACCACCAGTCAGACAACAAGAGGGGCAGGTGACTCGGATTGGGGATTGCAGAATGAAGGCCCTGGTGCAGTAACAAAAACCAAGGCTGGCAGTGGTTGGGATTCCCTCCTCCCACAGTGCTATAGGGAGAGCCTGGACACCCTTACCAGCTTGCCCAGATGGAGGAAAGGTCTTAGGCACTAACCCAGCTCAGTTCCAATCCTCTTTACCTCAACACATGCAGTCAACAGTTCCACACTGTTTAAATAACTGGTATGGTTTTTTTGGCTTTTCAATATTCTGGCTGATACAATCTTATTTTTAACAGTATTGGTGCTAACTTAAAAGATGTGGTACCTGGCACACTCATTTTTTTCCACCTACCAGGAAAGTTAGATGACTAACAAGCATCACTGTCCCAACTCCCATGCCACCAATAAAATTGTCCATATCTTTTCTTCTTCGCAAAAGGAATTGAGAACGCTCACAATCTCATAATTCAGAGATGGCACTGAGACACAGAACATCCTGGTTTTCTTCAAACTGGTGCACTGTGGCTGTTTAACCATCCCAACAGCCATTTTGTGTTGTCCCCCCCCCCATTTGTTGAGGCAGGGTTTCTCTGTGAAACAGCCCCCACTGTCCTTGAATCTGCTTTGTAGACCTGGCTGGCTTCAAACTTCACCACCACCAATTTTAGCAGGTAAGAATGTTGAGAATTTAAGAGATAAAGTGGGGGGCTGGAGAGATGGCTCAGCGGTTAAGAGCATTGCCTGCCCTTCCAAAGGTCCTGAGTTCAATTCCCAGCAACCACATGGTGGCTCACAACCATCTGTAATGAGGTCTGGTGCTCTCTCCTGGCCTGCAGGGATACAGACAGAACATTGTATACATAATAAATAAATATTTAAAAAAAGAGAGAGAGATAAAGTGGGCCAGGTGCGGCCACGCGCCTTTAATCCCAGCACTCTGGAGACAGAAGCAGGCGATCTCTGTGAGCCTGAAGCCAGCCTGGTCTATACTCCAGAACTATCTCATAGAGAGAGAAGAGGGAGGGGAGACATGAGACCATTTAAGTAGCAGCAAGTGGCAGAGCTGCGACTTCCGTTTAATAATCATTATGTGGGTATCAGAGGCCATGCTTAATTTTTTTATTTTGATATATATTTTAACAGTTGAAAAAGCCCACATCTTATCCTGTTAAATCGTAACTTTAGGATATGCTTGGGTCAATTTTTAGAAGAACAAGTGAAGCCCCATGCATTCATTCTGGTTTCACCAGCACTGCACACCCAGACACAGAGCACGTGAGCACACATTATTTCATAACTTTACACTCCTGTTTCATGTCTTTTGAATCCACAGAAAATTGTGCAAATTAACTTTGTATCAGGAATGTTTACATGACAGACACCAGTCTCAACATTACACATGCATTTTCAATACTGCCCCACCACCACCCTATGAGGTTAGTACTCCATCCCACTTAAAGAAATAAGGAAACCCAAATCAAAATGATGTGCCCACTTCCAATATGCTTAAACTTCATATAAACAGTGTATTATATTATATACAGCTTCTGCAGCTCTCAGTGTAGCTTCTACAGTCATTGTTTTTGCTGCTGTTTTGAGGCAGGGTATTGTTCTTTATCCTCGCATGGGGTGTGAACTCTGGTTCTCTTGCATCAGCAGCCCACATCAGGACTCCAGGAGTGCACCTCCACAATGAGTTTATTATTCTTTCTGAAAGACCAGACAACCAGCTCCTGCACTGTCTGTTCCGCCAGCCCCGCTGCCTAAACCCCGCTGAGCGAGCTGACTCACGCCCACCACTCTTCACACTAATCCAGAAGGGACCCAATGATAAGCTCTTGATTTTGTAAGACTTTCAAGTTGCCTAGCAATCTGTCTTAATTTCCACTTACAAAGGAGTCTGAATCCCAGTTGTTCAACCCATTTCACACTTGAGCTTTCAAAAGCTAACTTTTATAAGAGATTGCTAAGACAACCCATATGGCTTCTTCTTTGCACACTGGTCTGCCAGTCTTCAGTTAGGATAGAACTGACCACACTGACCAGGTGAACAAGAAGTCACCCGACAGTCAGTCACTCCTCCGTGAGGGTCTCCATCCGTCTGTCTCTCCCCCCCACTTCAGTTCCTCCGTCAGCAGAAAGGCCAAGCTGACAGAAGCCTGTGCTTCCCAAGCCAAGTTCGAATATAAGATTAGACATAGCTGCCAAGACAATCAGAAGCTGTCTGCCATCCTGCAATCTGCTACTCAAATCAACCATAGCTGGGCTCCTACCCTGCAGCTGTGTACTTCTGCGTATGACTTCCCTCCAATACTTGACTCAAGTCCAACTTGTCTGATCAAGGCTCACTTAAGATAAAGCTCCACTCGGCAGAGCTCGGTATCTTCAGAGAGGCGATTTTAAAATGAAGACTTTTAATGCTCATACTGTCTTCCGAATGGATTTCTTACTTAGAAGTAGTTTGCTTCCACCTGTGAGCCACATGCAGAAGTCAGGACAGGGCATGAAATCCCCTGGGACTGTAGCTGGCTGTGACCTGCTTAGTGGGTGCTGGGAACCGAACCCACGCAAGAGCAACACAAGTATTTAAGTGCAGAGTCATTTTTCCAGCTTGGAGAAGCAACGGTGCCTGTTTGTTTTACAAAAATCAATGTAAGTGCCCAAGCTCAGCTTTCCCATGTGCCTGGACACATGAGAAGCAAGGACAAGTATAACTGGGAACCCAGGTGACATTACCAGCTATGGCATGGACCTCAAAAAGAGACAGGAGCAAGAGGAATTAACGGACAAGGTCCAGGATAATCTAGAGTGTAAGCACAGGGTAGACCAGAGACTCCCCTGGAAAGACGGACCCAGGACTCAGTTTCGGTCGACTCTCCAGATGGCTCACCACACTCAACCCAGGGGTCTCCGTACTAACCACCCCTAAAATCAGTCGCCAGACAAGATCCACGTCCCTGGGTTCTTTCCCCATAGATTAACATAACTCACTCTACAACCCAACTCCCTTCAGCTTTTTAGTCAATTAGGGTTTCTGTTTAGGTTTCTCTATGCACCGGGCCCCGGTTAGTTTGTATTCTTCCAGCAGGTACTCCCCGGACAGCCCATTTAAAATCACCGCCCACATCCTAGCCCGATTCCTGCCACTCTTCTCTGGTCTACTTTGTCCTCAACACACATCACCATCCAGACTGTGATCTAATTCATTTAAGGAAGAATCCAACAAACAGCAGGGTTTTTGTCTGTTCTGGCCACTTACATCTCAGCACAGATGATGGATCGATATGCTTGTTGAGATCAGACAATGGAACCCAGCACCTGTCCTTTCCACTTGCCACTGAGACCGCTTTAGGACCATCTAGCCAATAACCACCAGCTAGCTGTGAGCGCCCCAGGAGACGTCTGAGGAGACGGCACTGACACAAGTCAACCCTAAAGAGGACCTGGGGGTCTAGATGGCCCCTTCCCAGCAGACACACACGCACACACTTTCTAATCCCAGACAGCAAGAGTTATACAAGGAGACCTGGGCTGCACAGGGCATTACTCTCCAGCACCACTTTCCAGCAGGTAGACTGAGGAGTCCCTGACCTCTTAAATCCTTTTAAAAGCTTTTAAAGACCTCACACCAAGAACTCCCCAAACAGAAACGACCAAGTCCTTGTAGAGGTTTTCCCCAGTGCCTGACAAGCTCTCTAGAAATGGAACCAGGAGCTATTCCCCACCGCCACTGTCATCAGACCCCAGGCTAATCTCTAACATGGTTTTTCACATGCCGAGCCAAATTGGAAGACCACCTGAAGGTCTTCCCACACACCTCACATTTGAAGGGCCTCTCTCTGGTGTGAAATCTCCTGTGGCTAGTGAGATGGGAATGTTTGCTAAAGGTTTTCCCACAAACACTACACTTGTGGCAGCCTGTGGGTACACTCTGGAGTGCAGTGAACCTGCAGCTCCCGTCAAAAGGGCTCTCGTACTCTTTGTGGGTCTTCTTTCCACTCAGTCTTAAATCCTGAATATTTAACCTTGCATCCCGACAGGAGGATAAGCCAGCATTATTAGACTGTACTGCTCTGCTGCGTCTTCTCTGGTCATGGATTCCAACAAAATCTTTACCACGCCTCTGGGATTGAAAAGGTCTCTCTGTAGCATGGATCCTCTGATGATTAACAAGACGATAGTTTCTATCAAATGATTTTTCACACAGGTTGCACTTAAAACGTTTCTCTCCACTGTGTATTCCCTTGTGATCCATAAGGCTTCTTTTACGTGTAAAGGTTTTCCCACATTCTTGACACCAAAAGCGCTTCTTACCAGTGAGGATTCTTGACTCTAAATTAGAAGTCTCCTGACTTTCATGATAATCATACTGCTGGTACTGCCGGTAGTAAGAGTGCAGCCTCTCATGTCGGGAGAGATTGGAACTCCATCGGAAGGCTTTGTCACACGCCCTGCATTTATAGGGCTTCTCCCTCGTGTGAACTCTCTGGTGAACAAGAAGGAATGAGCGAATTCGGAATGTTTTGCTACAGTATTTACACTTGTGAGGCTCTTCTGTGTTGTGATCGCTCTGAGGAATGTGAAACACCGCACCCTGACTGAGAGGTTGGCCACTTTCAGGCTCTCTTTTAATAGTATGAAGCCTCCTATGAATAATATAATCTGACCTATAGGTAAATGTTTTCCCACACTCATTACATTGGTATGGTTTCTCCCCTGTGTGAGTCCTCTGGTGCTCAATGAGTGATTTCTTTTGAGTAAAAGTTTTCCCACACTGATGACACAGGAAAGGTTTCTCCACAGCAGAGATAACCTGCTTCAAGTTTTCTCGACATTTCTCTTTCTTCTGGTGCAATCTCTTATGACGAGAAAAGTTTGACTTCCACCTGAAGGATTTCCTACATCTGGTACATTTATAAGGTTTTTCCTGCGTGTGAATCCTTTGGTGTTCAAGAACATAGGACTTACAGCAGAAGGATTTCCCACACTGGCTGCAGTCCAAGTGTTTCTCCTCACCGCTGTCTGTCAAACAATGACTGAGATCCAGGTTGGAGGTAAGAGCTTCTCTGCACTCATCAGATTTAGTATGGGTTTCCTGGTGCACACGGAGGGTTGACAGACGCTGGAAAGCTTTCTCACATAAACTGCACTTATAAGGTTTCACTCCAGTGTGAATTTTCTCATGCCGCACACAGTTTGAACGCCACTTGAAGGCTTTCTCACACACCCTGCATTTAAATAGTCTCTCTTCATAATGGCATCTCTGATGGTCTTCAAGATGGGAGCGCTTACTGAAGGCCTTCCCACAGTGAGGGCACCCATAAGCCTTTGCCCTCACCGTATGAACACTCTGATGAGAGCTGAGGAGGAAGTCCTTCCCGCATGTGTCCTTTTCACTGTCTTTTAGTCCAATACGAATACTCTGATATGCACCAAATCTCTTATCTGTGTTCCTGAGCCCATATTTCTTGTTATAATGGTGTGACCGTTTTCTGAAGTGTCTGTCACGGCCATGTTTAAAGGAAAGTTTTTTCTTAGAAACACTCACACACTTAACATGTTTTACATCAAGAATATTATTGCTTCCCAATACTTCAGATTCTCCTCCTGTCTCGTTACCGATGTCAGTTCCTTCCTTCATCTCTTTTACTTGTATGGGGCTTCCACAGGGCTTCTGTAGCTTGTTCTCTTCAAAATATTCTTTGAGCCCTGTTCCATCAGAAACACTTGTCTCAGGACATACTGATGGCACAGTAAAGGTTTCTGTGTATTCTGAAGGCTCCTGTTTCAAGATGAATTTGCTTGACTTAATCTGGGACTTACCTCCTGGTGAAAAAAAAAGAAGTACAAGGAAATGTATTTCCCCCATATTTGCAACCGAAGAAGGCAACAGGAAGCTATAAATTGGAAGATTCTTGCCTGAGTGCTATTACCTTCTTACAAGAGTCAAGATTATGACAAAACCGTAAGAAGTATCTCAAATAATAGGGAAGGGAAGAAGAAGGGCCAATCCCGCAGGGAAATAACAAGAGCTAAGGAGCCGGGCAGTGGTGGCGCACGTCTTTAATCCCAGCACTCGGGAGGCAGAGGCAGGCAGATCTCCGTGAGATCGAGGCCAGCCTGGTCTACAAGAGCTAGTCCCAGGACAGGCTCCAAAGCTACAGAGAAACCCTGTCTTGAAAAACCAAAATAAAATAAAATAAAAAGAGCTAAGGAAGAATATTAATAGCACGACAGTAGAGAAAAATCATGGCGCAGGACTGATCACTGCACAAAAGTCCCCAAAAGTTAAGACGTGAGACTCTAAAGGCCTGACTGAGAGAGCCAAGTATCAAGCTCACCGCGGAAGGGATAAGCACAGGTAGTGCAGGAGTTAGTGCAGACACAGGAGTACGGGGCATCATAACCAATGGAAAAGAGAACAGGGAAGCCCTGTGATGAGCAAGACCAATACTGAGATGCTGAAGAAGGGACAAGGCTGGGAAGAAATGGCCTTCCATAGGCCAAGAGGGGGAAAGAGGACTAGGGGCCCCAGCTCCCCTTAGTAACTCCTAGGACATAATGGAGGATGTCCCTAGTGATGTATTTAACCATGAGAGAAAGCAGTAAATTTAAGAGGGGCAGGGCATAGCAGATTTTATAGAACTCACCTTCAGGGACAGTACCTGGATCCCTCTTTGGCTGAACTGTGCAGACATCCACGACCCATGGCTTCCTGGCTTCCAGCCAGGATATGAGAGCAGGTTTGGGAGATGACTCCACTGCAGGAAAGAAGGGAATGGGTGGGAAGACAGGACACAGAACTACTCTCTACAGCCTAAAGTCCTGGTAGAGAGGAGGCAAGGCCAGAAAAACAAATGAAAGAAGCTAGGGCAAGATACCTGGTCAGTCATTTCTGATAGCTCTAGGCCAATCATTTCTCAACCTTCCTAATGCTGTGACCCTATAGTATTCCTCATGTTGTGATGACCTTCAACCATAGTTATTTTCGTTGCTACTTCTGTAATTTTGCTCTCATTATGAATCCTGATATAAATATTTCTGAAGATAGAGGTTTGCCAATGGTATCACGACCCACAGGTTGAGAACTGCTGCCCTAAGCAGACATGAGAGGCTGACTGGAAAGATGCTTCATCAGTTAAAGGGCACTGGTTGCTCCTCCAAAGGGTCTGGTTCAGTTTCTAGCATCCACATGGTGGGTAATAACCATCTCTAACTCCAATTCCAAGGGATCTGATACCCTCTCCTAACTTCCATGAGCACTGTATGAGGTGGTGCACAGACAAACACCCACACATTCTTCAAACTACATCAGTCAACCATGTATGAGGTGGTGCACAGACAAACACCCACACATTCTTCAAACTACATCAGTGAACCACGTTTGAATGGATCAACCTGGAACTTGAAATAGCCTCAGTCTTTTCTTTCTCTCTCTCTCTCTCTCTCTTTTTTTGTTTTTGTTTTTGTTTTTCGAGACAGGCTTTCTCTACATCACAGTCCTGGTTGTCCTGGAACTCACTTTGTAGACCAGGTTGGCTTCGAACTCACAGAGATCCAACTGCTGGGATTAAAGGCGTGCGCCACCACCACCCGGCCTCAGACTTTTCAAATAATCCCATATGACAGACATTACTATCTCCGTTATTTAAGAGGGATAGTTAGTTTAGTGATAGATTAAGTAATAAGGTTGATAGTTACAGAGCCGAAGTCTAAGGCTACACATTATAATAAAACACAAGGGCCAGTGAAGATGGCCCTGTGAGTAAAGGCCCCTGTTGCCAAGCCCAGGACTCACATGGTTGGAAGGACAGAGACCCCTCCCCTCTCACTGACTGACTTCTCACTGTATGAGCTGTGGCAGTCAAGTGCCTACAAGCATACACATCCATGCACACAAATGAGTTTTTTTTTTTAATTAGAAAAAAAAAAAGGTAAAAGTGGAGGTTGGCAGAGATACTAAAGACTTACCAACAGAAACCACATTCCCGTAGTTCTCCAGCATAACATCCCGGTAAAGATTGCGCTGAGCAGAGTCCAAGCATCCCCACTCTTCCTGAGAGAAGGTCACCCCCACGTCCTGGAAAGTCAAAGCTTCCTGAAAAATAAGATAAAAACAATGATTTAGAGTTGATCATGGGCCTGATACAGAATTAACTAATACTGGATAAATCTGGTCACGGTAAAAGACCATCACCCAGCAGAAAGCTCTGGTCTCCTAAATATGAAGTCAAATGACAGTCCAGGATGAAGAAAGCCGCACTACTCATAAGGTAGCAGTGCCTTGATGGAGAAAGGTCATTGGTTAAGTAATAAAGAAACTGCTTGGCCTCATAAGTTAAAACATAGGTGGGAGGAGTAAACAGAACAGAATGCTGGGAGGAAGAGGAAGTAAGCTCAGACTCCACAGCTCTGCTCTCTGGAGCAGAGACGCATGCTCCTCTCCCGGGTAGACGTGATAGCTCTGCTCTCTGAGACACTCACAATGAAGCTCCGACCCAGGATGGACGTAGGCTATAATCTTCCCGGTAAGCGCACCTAGGGGAGCTACACAGATGATTAGAAATGGGCTAAATTAATATGTGAGAATTAGCCTAGAAGAGGCTAGATAGAAATGGGCCAAGCAGTGTTTAAAAGAATACAGTTTGTGTGTTGTTATTTCGGGGCATAAGCTAGCCAGGCGGCCGGGGTGCTGGGGACGCAGCCCCGCCGCTCGTATTACTACAGTGCCTGAGACACCAAAAAAGACCCAAAGCTGGCTCACCTAGTGCCAGTTACCAAGGGCTTGGTGATTGTTGTTACCTGGCATCCGATGTCTTCTGTTGGGGAATGGGCAGGCTCCAAGACAGCAGGAGCATCTGAAGGAGGAAAGAGCCGTCAGAGAGCTCTCGACACCCAGGAAGCCCACTCTCCTCACTCCCACAAGCAGGCAGACTGCTGTTCAAGATGCACAGACATGGGAGGGAGAGAGGGAAGAAGGGAGGGAGGGAGGGAGGGAGGGAGGGAAGGAGGGAGGAGCAGGACAGATTCCATTTTAGACCGGAATTGACTGGGGGCTGAATTTGGTTCTGGTCAAAACCACAAACTTGTAGAGTTTGTGCCCCAGTCAAGGCAACCCCACCAGGTGGGCCAGCCAATGAGAAACTCTGGTCAGTGTCTGCGGGCTCCAGATGTCCTTGTGACTTCTCTGTGTAACCAATAACTTAAGTGCCCTTACGAATGACCCAACCCTGAAACGCCAAGGCATGTGGGTTTTCCCTTAAAAACCCATAACCCTGAAAGCTTGAAGCCATTCTCCGTCACCCGCTACATCAGGGTGCTGGGTGATGGCCCAAGCTCGAGCTTTTGATCAATAAACCCCTGTGTTTACATGGCATACTGGCTCTGTAGTGGTCATGTTTGGGGATCTTACAATGCAACACGGGCACCAAACATTTCCTCAGTGTCTTTTGGGGACTGGAAAGGAAGAGTGGAGGGCAATGGAAGACATCAACCAAACATGAATCAGGGAGGAGTTCAGGAGAACACAGAGCTAGGTGACAAAAAGTTCTTGTGAGGTAACACAGGATGTATAACAGAAAGCTTGGGTCTAGGCAGTGAGTACCATCTTGCCCAGCCAGAAATTTATAAACTCCTAGTCCATGTGGAGGCTCCAAATGGTCCTCTAGAGCAGAACTGTTCCTGAGCCGTGACGTAGGGGACCATATCTGTGCAGACTGCAGAGCTCCAGTGCCTATCCAGTGCACACCTGGGTTCTGAGCAAGGCATGGGTCCTGGCAAAAAGAAAATGTTATGAGAACATTCCAACAGAAATAGGAAGCAAATTCATAAAATAGTCCCTGTACAGGGATGGGCCACCAGGCCCGCTGATCATTTCCTGGCGAAAGGCACCCAAAGAGAAGACAAAAGAGAAACCTTTTATTCCATGGCCTCCCTGCACCAGGGAGTCCGTAAGGTTACCTACCACTTAACATAAGGGTACACATGGCAAGTTGGTAATAGGAATCCTCATATGGCACAGGGAAGCCTTCTCATTACTGCCTACCTGTCCCCTGGCCTAAAGATGAGAAATGAAAGGGAGTGGAGGAATAATGGTTTGCAGCAGAGACCAGACAAGTGTACTGAAATGGACAATGGCCTCAGAGAAAGCGGGCTTTCAAACTGTAAACCTGGCAAAACAGTGACCACCATCAGAGAGGCAATATTAACTTTAAGAGTCAGCCAGGAAAGGGGGGCTGGAGAGATGGCTCAGTGGTTAAGAGCATTGCCTGCTCTTCCAAAGGTCCTGAGTTCAATTCCCAGCAACCACATGGTGGCTCACAACCATCTGTAAAGACGTCTGGCGCCCTCAACTGGCCTTCTGGCATACAGACAGAATATTGTATACATAATAAATAAATAAATAAATAAATATTAAAAAAAAAAAAAAGAGTCAGCCAGGAAAGAAACCACACAGAAAAGCTCTCCTATGCTCATCTGTTGGGTCCCTTGGCATCCCCACTTGATCTGTTTTGCACTCTTGTGGTTGGTTGTTCCGAAAACAGGAACAAAAACAGCAACAATCTGTTGTTTTCAGCAATGTTTCTAAGGATGTTTACCCCTAAGCCATGTGAGTTACTGTGATGAGCTTGTGATGAGCTTCCTGCTTTTGCTGGCTCGGCCTCCCCTGCTGAGGGCTATATATAAAATGTGAGAAAGTGGAATAAAGGCTTGCCTGCAGAACCTGAAGTGTGCTGTGTGTTAATCCTGTTAATCCTGAACCCCCTGGCTCACAGCACGCATCCTCTCAGAGAACCGGAAGGAGGGCTTTGCTCTTGTGCTTCAGGCAGCTCTGTCTCTGAGACAAGGCTTTCCTTAATGTAGAAATGAACTCCAGTATATATGCAGACAGCTCCTCTGTGCTCTTCCATTCAGAGTTCATGATTCCTGACTCCTTTCTGCTCCTCCTCAGCCCCTACCACCCAAGCCTATGGTTACTTTTTTTTTTTTTTTTTTTTTTTTTTACTGTGTGCACAGTATTTTGTCTGCATGTATGCCTGCATGACAGAAGAGGGCACCAGATCTCATTACGGATGGTTGTGAGCCATCATGTGGTTGCTGGGAATTGAACTCAGGACCTCTGGAAGACCAGCCAGTGCTCTTAACCTCTGAGCCATCTCTCCAGTCCGCCTATGGTTAGTCTTAAGCAAAATCAGATTATGTTGTGGTAGTAGGGAGTGGACTAGGAAGTGTAGTCTTGCCGGAGAAGTGGCTTTGTTGGAGGAAGTGTGTCACTGTCTGTGGATCCAGATGTAGAACTCTCAGCTCTTTCTGGAGTACCATGTCTGTCTGCACACCACCACGCTTCTTCCCTCCATGACCATAATGGACTAAACTCACAAAAATGTAAGTCAGCCCCAATTAAATGTTTTCCTTTATAGGAGATGACATGGTTGTAGTATCTCTTCACAGCAGCAGAAATCCTAACTAAGACAGAAAGTTGGTACAGTCAGTACCAGGGACCGGGCACTGCTGTAAAAGGCAGAAACCTCGCTTTTGTTTGGAGGACTGTGGACTTTGGATTAGAAAAGCAGGTGAATACTTTACTTGGGGTTTAGTGAGCCACACTAATATCAGAAGAGAAGATAGTGATAATTTGAACAGTGGTGGCCCATATAAGGAGGGTTCAGAGGAGAATCTTAGTATATAGCCTGGATATCTTCTGATATTTTGGCAAAAAATGTGGCTGCTTTTTGCCTCTATCCAAAAAAAAAGTCTGCCCAAGGCTAAAGTAAAAGTTTTAGATTAATTCCATTGGCAGAGGAAATCTCAAAAACAGCCTATTATTGACTCTGTTCACTCTTAATTAGTTAGTATTCACTCTTAATGAAGATCTATAATGAAAAGAAGCAAGTTGAGCAAGGAAAAATACAAAATGTTCAATTTGAGGAGAAAAGGGGCACCAGGAAGTGGAGCTAAATCCTGTATTCGAGGAGATAAACAGATTAAAGAAAATCCTGATATTAAATGGAATAAAAAGAGTGATGACCTCTGTGCAAGATCCCATCCAGCTAAACTTGCAGCTTGTGAAGGATTGAGCCACGTGCATCAGTGCATACCTTTGAGCCCATCACGCTGGAGACAGAGGCATGCACATCTCTGAGTTTGAGGTCAATCTGGTCTACAGATCCAGGTCCAGGACAGCCAAGCTTAGGCAGTGAAGGAAATCATCAACAGAAAGCTGGTGAAGATGTAACTGATGAGGGGGGCCATGTTCCAGCCCCAGCAAGCAGCGGAACATGGCAGCTCTGACCACATGATTTTGGGTTTAGAGTCAAGGATGAAAGGGTTGTGGTATCTCCCTCCATGACTAAGAAAAGCCACTAAGGCTAGGCATGTGTCAAGAATGTCCCTGAATGGAAGTTGTGAAGGTGAAGCCTGGATTGCCTTGGGGACCCCAGGATGCTGGAGGTGTGAGAGTCATGAGATACTAGCTGAGGAAAGCTGCTAGCTGGGAAGGGAACCAGCCCGAGAGAGAAGTGTGTTGGAGTCAACAAAGCTCAAAGGAGTTGGAGATCTGAAGAGTGTTTTGACATCAGACATGGAGAGACAGTTTGGAGTTTACCAGTTGGTTTTTGGTCTTGCTTTGGCCCAGTATTTCCTCCCTGTGCTCCCTTCCCTGTGTTTTGGGATGGTAATGTATATCCTGTGTTGAAAGTATGTGATCCCTTTTTTGATTTTATAGGGGATTATAGTTAAGAGATTGTACGAGTCTCAGAAGAGACTCTGAGCTTGTAAATAAGTGTGCCACTGTTGAAGACTATGAGGACTTCTGAAGTTGGACTAAATGTATTCTGCATTATGGTGTGGCTACAAGCCTATGGGAGCCAGGGAGTGGAATGCAGTAGCTTGAATAAAAATGACCCCCTTAGGCCCACAGGGAGTAGAACTATTAGAAGCTGTAGCCTTAATGGAGTAGGAACGGGCATTGTTGGAGGAAGTGTGTCCTTGTCACTTCCTGCTGCCTGTGAATGCAGATGCAAACTCTCAGTTTCTTCTGCAGCGCCATATCTGCCTGCACACCGCCATGCTTTCTTACCATGGCCACAATGGACTAAACCTCTGAAACTGCAAGCCAGTCCCAATTAAATGTTTTTAAGAGTTGACTTGGTCGTGGTGTCTCTTCACAGCAATCGAAACCTTAACGGAAGTGGAGCTGGATTTTCTATACTATAAACCATTTTATCCATAAACTAATTTTATTATAATTTATTAATACCTGCTGATTCTATTCTAGGGGTGGTCTTCCTGTGTGAAGTGGAAAAAGCACCTTGCTAAATGGTCCGCGATCAGAGTCCAGTTCTCAGATGCTCAGGTTATTTCCCTACATGCCCCAAGCTCACATTTCTCATCCACAGAAAGGCAGGCAGAGCCTATACGTATCACCTACCCTCAGTGGTGCTCCATGGTGATCCCTCTGCAACTCTTCCAGCAGGGCCACAACCTCCGCGCCACTCTCTGGGCAATGGAGCTGCACCCACGTCCGCAGCTCTCCAGGCAGGATGCTCAGGAACTGCTCCAGCACCAGCAGCTCCAGCATCTGTGCTTTGGAAAGAACATCAGGCCTGATCCACCAGCGACAGAGCTCCTGGAGCCGGCTCAGAGTTTCTAGGGGCCCAGAAGACTCATGGTAGCGAAGCTGCCTGAAGAGCTGACGGAACAGCTCCTGTCCAGAGCGGTTAAGTGTCTGTGGCCTGGCAGTCTGCACAGAAGCATAGTCATCCTCCTCCTCTTCCTTCTTTACCTTACGAAGGTGCTCTTGTTCCCTTGAAGCCTGAGCTGAGTGGGCCGCATAGCACCTGCCTGGAGGCATCACTCTTGTCCAGGGTCACCCAGATAAAGACAAAACAAGTCTGCTGCTTTCAATGAATCACTGCTGTATCCTCAGGAGTATCTTCTCAGCACTGCAGTGCACAATGTCATTTGCTAGGTCATTAGAAGTTACTGGTAAGAGGCTGAAATAACCAACATTCCTGTTCAGAAGAAAACAGAAAAGAAAATGATGTCCATCACACATGATGCCGCTAGGTGGGGAATCACTTGTGAGAGAAGACGTATGTGCATGAGTCCTTACACAGACTGAGACCAAGGATGGTAAGCTAATAAAGTTTCTCTCAACACAGGTAAGATATGAATAGGGCTAGAAGACACAAGCGGCTGAGAAAAAGGCCAAGCAACATCTGAATAAGTAGACAGATACATTGCACCGACATTCCTGTAAGGGGAGACACAGCATGAAAACCTTTCAATTCTTACATTGATGTTTAGTTCAATTTCAGCAAAATCTCAGGGAGATGGAAGGCAGAGAAGGTGGGGATGTGTCTAGCATGTCCACATCCCTGAATTTAATCCCCAGAACCACTGGGGGAAAAAAGAGAAAAGATATTGGCTGGGAGAAGGGGTATTTAATGGAAGAAACCACAACCCAATGGGGGTAGGGAGGGCGTCATTGGAAGATTCCAAAAAATACCAGTGATAATCAATCACAAGGGGGTAACTCCCCGTTTCTCAAGATTGTTCTCAAGATTATAACCTAACTTTGTGGTCAGCCAGTTTCTGGAACAAAGTCACTGAACCGATTAACCTAGATTTTTGGCTCTACTCTTCCTGCTAGGGGTGGGGGTCTGGATTTATTCTGGTCTTTCAGTAGTTGCTGTCATGCTGGACAGAAAAATACCAGAAATCAGCAAAAGACAAAACTATACACCTAAGCAGAGCAGGGGCAGGGAGCCCAGCAGGCTAAGCAGAGCAGGAGCAGGGATCCCAGCAGGCAAAGGTGCTCGCCTCCCCAGCACTGAGTTCCATCCCCAGAACCCACAAGGTCGGGAGAACTGACTCCACACCCATAAAAACACATTATGCACACACATGCATGCACACACACACACACAGTAAATTAAAATTTAAAACATAATTTAATTAAAGCAGGCCAGGCATGATAATGAATGTCTATTATCCCAGCACTTGGGAAGTAGAGGCAGGAGGATAAGGAATTCAAGGCCAGCTTGGGCTGACTGCTAAGACCCTGTCTCAAAACAAAAACAAAGAAGTGGGGCCAGAAGTAGACACTGACATAATCAGATCACATTTAAAAAGCAAAGACAGTCAAGTCAGCAGAGTACCATCATTTAGGAGACAGAAGCAGGCAGGTCTTTGTGACTTGGAGGTGAGCTGTAACAGCAAATCACAGGCCAGCAGGGCTATGTGAGAGACTGTCTCAAAAACAACAAAGCAAGAAAAAAGAGCAATCTTTCTCACAAGGCCTCACAACAAGAAATGTAAAAGAAAAGGAACACAATATTCATTAATAAAGGCAAGATGCTAACCAGGAAGAGAATGGCTTTTGTTTTGTTTTGTTTCATTTTTTCGGTTTGTTTTGTTCTGTTCTTGTTGAGACAGGGTTTCTCTGTGTAGTCCTTGATGTCCTGGAACTCCCTCTGTAGAACAGGCTGGCCTCAAACTCACAGAGATCCACCTGCCTCTCTGCCTCCCTAGTGCTGACATTAAAGGCATGCACCACCAAGACCAGGCCAGGAAGTGAATTATGGAGAAACACAATTCCTTCCCCTAAAACAGCACAGATTACAACGTCAAACACAGAAATCTTTAAGTGGTAAAAGCTGAGAAATGCCAGTAACAAGGACACATCATTTTATCGGAGAACAAGAAAACATCAGATACAAGAACATTCTAAAATTGCAAATAACACAGAGACAGGAGGATCTCTGTGAGTTCGAGGCCAGCCTGGTCTACAAGAGCTAGTTCCAGGACAGGCTCCAAAGCCACAGAGAAACCCTGTCTCAAAAAACCAAAAAAAATAGAAAAAAAATTGCAAATAACAAAATATTTCAAAAAAAAGTCAAGACCTTGGGGGCTGGAGAGATGGCTCCATAGTTGAGATCACTGGTCACTCCTTCCAGAGGACTCTAGTTCAATTCCCTGCACCCACCTGGGAGCTCATAACTGTCTGTAACTACCGTCTGAAGGGATCTGACACCCTCTTCTAGCTCCCACAGGCACCAGGCACACACATGGTGGTTAGGCACGCAAGCAGACAAAACACTTATATATTAAAAAGGATTTTTAAAGGAATTTTTTTTTATCAAGGTCTTAATTGTATAGCTATTCTTGGTAGTGACTGCAACTACACAGGAATAAAGCAGGAAGGGCCTACAGAATGGCCCACCAGGGTAAGTTTAGCGTCAAAACTGCAGCTCAGCTGAACTTTAGTTGGACCGCAGGAACCAACCCGGCAGCAAGAGACACCCACAGGTGTTCCCTGATCCCCGCAGGCTCACTGCCACTTGTACACAACTCACACACAAATATGATGTGGGACGCACACCTTTAATCCCGGCACTCAAGAAGCAACAGATCACGGCACATTCAAGGCCAGTAGGTGTATCAGCGAGATTCTCCACCCAGGAGAGAGGCAGTTTGGGGTTTATAAAGCCAAAAACCACAAATGGCAACGAGAGGCAGAACCGGTGGCAGAAGAAAGTTTCTAGAACACAGGTTTCTAACGCTTAGTTGATAAGAACAATGGACTTTCCCGGACCTGGACGTTTGGTCAAGAATGAAGCTCGGCCCGGCTGGGGAGCAGTCACGCGGAACTCACAAAATGGAGTCAGCTAAAGCAAAATGGGGTTCCTCCATCGGTTCATTTCCACCTTTCTGTCATTTTATTCTCCAGCAACTCTGACATCACAAAATGCTCATAAACTAATACTTCCTGGATACCAGAAGCCACAGAAAATTTGGGATTGGGACTGTGAGCACTTTTCAGTTTTCAAGTGCGTATCAAAGCTTAATTTCAAACACGTCCTTTCAGCTTATAAAACATTTTTATCTTTTTTACTTAAAAATTTGAAAGGCAGGGCTCATTAAATTGTCAAGGTTCCTCAGAAGCGGGGGTTAACAGGCCTGAGCCACTTAGACCGAGCTGTCCCAAGCATTTTATCTCCTACAGCTGACGTCACGACCATAGAACAATTTTGTTTTTGTTTTTAAGGTAACAGCAAAACCAACCCGCATGATGAACCGTGGGCGGCCGTGCTGAGTTTGTCAAGAAGTCAGGACGCCAGGAGTCACAATGGCGGAGACCGGACTTGCAGGATCTTGGAGAAACCGGAGGCTGCCGGGCAGCACCGACCCAGACCGGCCCGGTTCCCGGAGAACCCACCCGGGTGGTGGCATCGCTGGTGGGGTCAGGACGCCCCAGACTGTGCCCCGCCGCCCGCTCGCCCACCCGCTCTCCCGGCCGCTCACCGCCCAATGCCGGAACCTTCGTGTTACTCCCCTGATGGCCGTGCTGCCCGCTGTATCCACCTCGCCGTGGCCTCTCTAGAACAGCGGAAGTCTACCTTCTGGGGGCTCTCTAGGATACCCGGGGGAATGCCGCCTCGGCTGCTCTCCGCCCTAATTCGCCCTGGCTCCCTTCTGGCCCAGCTCGCCCGCCGGTCTAGCTAGGCTAGGTGGTAGAATGCTGCGCAACGCCCGGCATTCCACGCACCGCCCTCTGTCTGGAGATTAGAGCTTTCTCTGGAAGAGTAGGTGTGGCCTGGAGGCGTTGTTCTGGAAGAAGCGCTTTTCTTTCAGTGGATCCACTAAAGGGTAACTGATGTCAGTTGGGCAAACCCTTGTGCAGAAGCTAAAGGACTCAGACAAACGTGGCTCTTTCTCCCTTGCTAAAGGGTTAGATTCCCGTCTTTAGGCACGTCCACATTCCCGAAGCTAGCCACAAAAGTCCCTAATTTGCTTCTTTATAATGCCGAACTCATTCCTGAAGCTGATCACTAAAGTCCAACAATCAAAATTCCCCGTTTGACTATGATTAACATGCCCATCAGAACTTATCAACCCATGCTAGCTCATGCTAACACAACCCTCCCCTTCTTTCCTTTTAAACATTACCCCTACAAAACTGTTCGCTACTGTTTTCTTATTGATTCGATTCAGCCACCTTGTCTCTTGGCCTTGTTTAATAAAGTACCTCTTTGTGCTGGAAATTGGTGTTTGGGTGGGGTCTGTGCCTAATCTGGTCTCTAGATGGGTGCCACCTAGGATATGCAGATCTTTTTGGACCCCTCCCCCTGCCCCCCACACGCACTTCAGAATAACTTCCAGCACAGACCGTTCTTGTGTGAAATTGCAGGGCAGAGCTAATACCAGAAATGTTGCAATTGAACACCCCAACAGTTCTGCAGAAATTTCTGGGAAACTGAGTCATTGAACTCTTTTTCAGTTGGACAGAGTTACTTACTTGGATAACTCTGTAATGGAAATCATCCTGGACCTCTCTTAAACATGAGATTCACAAGGAGAAAGACCAGTTCCACAGTGTCCAGTTAAAGCAACTTTTGTTTAATATTGGCCAGGAAGATGGACACTGACCAGGTCCACACCTAGGATTCCCATAGAACAGCCATGAGTTACATTAGCTAGGAGTCTATAAAGGCCAAACCACAAGGGTACGGTACTTCCCGCCTTTGTCCGAAGGTTCGCATACATCCTGATATACCATGTACTTCCTTCCCATGGGTGAGCAAGCACACACTGCACAGTTGGGGCTGTCAGGCCCAGATCATGAGATCATGGAATCCCCCTAAAACCACCCAAGATGCCAAGTCCTGTATGTAAAAGCAAAGAGCCTTTATTCTTACACTCTCGGACTCTTCATGTGTCCAGTGTGTTGGAGTGATCGGAGAACCCGAGCTCAGGTAGGGTTGAGTATTTATAGCAATGGTAGAAGTGAGGGATTTCTAAGGTTTAGGACCCCTGATTGACTGACATTTGTCTAGGGGTGTCCTGGTGAAAAGCAATGGGTGTGTGCTAGCAGGTGATCCTATCTACAATGGTTTAACATTAGGAATATCCTTTGGATGGTCTATTCCTGGGTGGTGCCTGGGTGATCTCATTTTGGTCTTTCTTGGAACCAGGTATTGATTGCCTCAGGGTAAACTCCTGAGACTCAGGCCTCTGTCAACCTTCTCGTGGCTGGGCCCTACCAGAGCAACCAGCCTTGTTTACTGAAGTGAAAACACGTGACTTCATTTAGCCCTCAGCATTCTGGGAGTTATCTGTCCGTGGTTAAGTGGGACTTACTGGTTCAGCAGCCTCTAAATGAGGGAGGGAAGGAGCAGGTAAGCAGGAGGTTCGAGTACAGAACCCCGTGTGAGATGGTAAAGGACTGGGCAGGGTTAAAATCCAGTTATCCCACCCACACAGCGCCTTGAGTTTCTGGAAATAGTGCCAGGAGGCAGGGGGTCAGTCTGTCTGTCTCAGCACTGGGAAATTTTCTTCGATTTGACGTGGCAGTCTGGGGGATTTCCACATTCCTTCCTCTTCTAAACCCTGATGACCCTGTATACATATATTTATTATGTATACAGTGTTCTGGGCACCAAATCTCACTACAGATGGGTGTGAGCCATTATATGGTTTCTGGGAATTGAACTCAGGACCTCAGAAAGAGCAGTCAGTGCTCTTAACCTCTGAGCCATCTCTCCAGCCCCTCTTCATGAGCCTTCAAAGGAATCCTCTGATACTGGTGGTATGGGGCTCAGGGCATCCTAACCACACATATGGGACCCAGGCTGCATAGGTGCCATGGCAGGTTTGATAGAGACCTTTTACTGGCAAGTAACACCCGGCTCCAGGAAAAGCCATAAGCTGAGACCACCCAGGGACGAGCCAGTGTCGAAGGGAAGTACCTGACATTCCAAATATCCCAACCATTAGATAAGATTAAATAAGATCACCAGATGTCCTTGAGGCCAGTCTGCACTTATTCCCCTTTCACCAAGACACCCCTAAACAAATGTCAGTCAATCAGGGTCTTGAATCCTGGAAATCCCCTTACCCCCGAACCTCTACTATCATAAAAAACCTACCTGGCCCAGGCTGCGCACTCATACCGTTGCGTGGGACGTACAGAGGACCCAAGCCCAAGCTTGAAAAGGGCTCTTTGCTCTCGCATACAGATTCTGACTCCTTGGTGGCCATTTGGGGTACTCAGCACTCTGGGCACAACAGTCGTGGACCTGGAGTCTAACTACTTCTATCCTGTTTTTGATAAAGTGAATTAGAAGATTTATACGGCATGCATCAAACAGTAGAATCAGGAGAATTACAATCAAGAGCCCCACTGGTGGGGGCGGGAAGCCCAGCCTGCATCCATATTGTAATCAGGACTCATTTTGATACACTAGCTAAGCTTTCAGTGTACTGTAAAACTTAAATTTCTGTTTTTCTGCATTGGGTTACAACCCACCCTATGACCACAAATTGTTCTGGAACAGCTATTCTGGGCAGATTTCCTTAACTTCTGTTCTGGTTTCTGTATCTATGCTTGCTTGTAAAATCCCACCCTGTGGTTTTGTTGTTAAAGGAGCTTGAGAAACTGCTCAGGGCTGTTCTTCCGATTTCTGTCTTAGAGGGAGGCAGCCCCCAGTTTGGCTTTGGGTACTGAATAAATCTTGCTTCAGTTTGGATTGAGGGTTTCTCTTCTCTCACCCGTAGATTAGCAGTGACTAGCTATGGCCCAGGAGGTCCAGGGTTCACCCTATTAAGATCTTTTGGTTTTATCTCTGGCCTATATTCATTGTACCTGTTACCTAGCATTTTCTCTCACTGTTCTTCTTTGGTTTGCACAGAAACATCCTTCTTCTCCTAAGAAGACATCTGTGCCACGTACTGGGCCCTGACTGTTGAGGGTAGAGACCCAGAGACCACGCGGCATGTCCAAATCCCGAATTCAGAGTCTATATTAAGCCGGCAACTGCTTAATGAGAAACACGTCTCATAGAGAAGCCTTGAGTGCATTTTATAGGAAAAATTTAAAGACCAAAGCATAGGAAAACCACAGCCTGGTTGGCACTTGCAGGGGGAGTAAAGCAAGCAGTTTTATTATGGGTAGCCCAGCAGAGATGACTGCTCAGACAGACACAGTTTATAGCCAATTGAAAGCCTTTATTCTGGCCGACTGGGACCATACCCAGATATTCAGGGGACCCAGGTATGACCATGAGTGTCCAAAGCACAGGATTTTTGAAGGCAAAAACCATGCCCTGGCATCTCAAACTACAGTTGCAGAGAGCTGCCTTCACAGAAGCAAGCAGTTTAACAGAAGTTAAGATAAGCAGTTAGCGTGGAAGGGGGCAAGGTTCTTAACTGGCAGTTGAACTGAAGCTTAGGTCAGTTAGCTGAAGGGGGTTCCTACACAAACCAGCTAAGTTAGACAGGTCGTCCTGATTTGGGGTTCCTAGAATAGAGCTGGGTAATTTTCCATGGGATTATCCATCAAGGAGATCAAATTCTGTTTAATCCTGAAATGTCCTGAGCAAGAATACAAGACAGGAACTTTTGCAGTGTCTTGCCCTGTCATAGTTTAACAGAAGTCAAAGAGATGCAGTTAGTCGGGGAGTTTTGATCCCAAGTTCAGAGCAGAGGGCTGCGTTCTTTTCCACAGAACTTTTCATGGTACGGGTAATGTCAGTTTCTGATTAAACCAAAATGGCTCCAACGGAGACGGAACGGGGAAACCTTTGCCCTGACACATGATTATGTCTAAGCCTCTACCGTTATGTCCACATCTCAGAATCCCTAGTGAAACCATGGTGCCGGTTTTCCGATGTAAATGCAAGAGGGTCTCTGTTTAGCAAGCTTAAGCTCAGACCACAAACCTCCAACACACCAATGCAGTGTGTGAGAAGAGAATGCAGCCCCGAGTTCAGAGAAAGACAAGCTCTTAAAGGCAAAATGCCACAATTAAGGGACCACATGTCTTGTCATCTTGGGATTGGGCAAAGGGGGTACAGAGTAAGAAGATTTCTGAAATCATTGGTCAGATTTGGGGCGCAAAACCCCAACAAAAAACCATAAGAAACTGACAAGGTATCCGAGAGGGCAGGATGTCTTCAGAGACAACTGAACCTTGTTAACTCTGTCTCACACCTTAATTGGCTGTCCACGTGGCTATCTGCTTCATATTCATCATCTACCACAGCACATTCCTAGAGCTGAGGTAAATCCTAGGTCACCGGTTGTCTTAAGAGAAGTCCCATTTCAGTTAAATATTTCAGGGTATCACACTACCATGTTGTAAGGCCATGGCAGCCAGAGAGTTTTATCACAGCAACTATACTCTGCTGGAATAGACTGAGGGAAGTTTCCTTTAATTTGATTGGATAGCAGGCTATGTTGAACCTGTTGGTGTTAGGGTCCTGGAGAAGTCCCACAAAAGACCACCAATCCACATATGCAATCAGCAAGAGCATTTATTATCTCAAGAATACAAGTACCAACAGTGTGGGGTCAAGCATCCAACACAAAAGGCAAAGATGGTGCCAACCCCCAAGAAAAGCTTGCAGGCTCTTTAATGCACAACTAGAGGAATTCTAAAAGCAGTGTGATGATAGCCGGGCGGTGGTGGCGCACGCCTTTAATCCCAGCACTTGGGAGGCAGAGGCAGGCGGATCTCT